CAACAATGAATAGGATATCAACCGTTTGATTTTAAGTGTTAAGTTGACGGAAGTGATCTTGCACAGACAATTTGTGTCGTTCAAGGCGCTTTTTGTAATAAACAGAAAATATTTCATTATGTTTAATTATGATGAAGAGTTAGAGAAACCTCACTTTGAAGAGTCCTTCTCTAGCACAGACGAGCGCCCTGGCAGCCTTCGAGATGCGCAGTATAGCTAAGATCACGAGGCTTCCCTACATCTTTAAGTCATCTGAGTTTGATCAGAAGTGTGATCATATATATATATTAAGTCATGTTTATAAGTTTTATCCTTTTAGATATCCAACTTCATTTCTGAACCATTAAAAGAATTTGGTTAATATTCATAAATAATATATGTAGTTTGCAACTCATAAGGAGAAGGCTTGTTGAAAGTTGCATTAAATACCATTGTGAAGTATAAACTACTATGCTCTATCGCAACACAACGCCGGTATAACTTGCTAATACTCACACCTCATTTGCTAATCAATAAATGGATGTCTTACCACAGATCTGTTTATTTTTTAAAACAGAAATAAAAATGTGTTTTAACCCAAATTTCTGACAAGAGCCGCTCTCTCATTTAATGTTTACTTACCAGGGCGATGGCTACGGGTACAGCACAGTAAGTACGGTGCAACAGAGACTCGTGTTCACTATTTGTTTTGGTCTGTGAGATTATTCTGTGAGGGATCTGTCCACCTGTCTCTCAGACGTGTCTACTCACACCACTATGCTCTCTCTAGTCTACAGTTCAGTCCAGATCGACACATGAGGGTCGACACAATATATCAGATTAAATCTTGGTTACATCTCTTGGTTAAATCAGATCTGAGTTCACGTAAATAAAAATATTTCCTTTGCATTTAAATAAAGTGTTGAATATGTCTCATAAAACACCCACTGCGTATACTGCTCCTTAATAAGATTATACAGTAATACATGTATTATTCACGATGCTGGCGTGCACAAAGTAGGCCAACCTTCAAAACTGGGATACACTAGGCACAATAGGTCTTATACATTTGTATACAGTAGCAGAAGGGGTCTTTACCACTGAGATACAGTAGCTCCAAGCAGTCTTCCACAGTGGGATACAGTAAGCACTAGAGATGATCAAAATTGTGATACAGAAGGCACAACGTCTTCAAAACTCGGATACAGTAGGCACAAGACATCTCTATAATTACATAATTCATGTACTTTGATGATTAAAAAAATAATTGCATAATACAATGAGCATTGATAGGGAAATGCACAACATTTTGAAGAAATTATAGAAGACTGGAAACTGCAGAAAACAACAAATCTATCTCTCTGCTAACTGTATCGTGTCTGGGTGGAGTTCAGAATGTAACCTGTCATACTGTAGCTTATCTGATTAGTTTGCTTCTTACAGTTTGTCCTGGTTTATCCCGCCTTCTTCTCCAAGCAAGTTAAAAAAAATGCTGTTCCAGCTAATATACAAATTAGATCTGGAATTTTGTTTAATACTTGAAAAAAATTGTCTTTCAATTAACTGTAAAATCAGCAATTTCTTTCAGTCATTTAGTTAATCTTTTTTTTATCTAATTTATATTTAGATTAGATTTACGTTATATTGAGATTATATCTTGATTATTTTTTAGATTATATATAGATTTGATTTAAATTAGATTTAGATTATATTTTGTTTAGTTTTCATTATATTTAGAATATATTTTTCTTTAAAAGAATGCAAGATCTTTATTTTAACACACGATAGAATCATTAATATATATATATATATATATATATATATATATATATATATATATATATATATATATATATATATATATATATATATATATATATATATATATATATTATATATATATATATATATATATATATATATATATATATATATATATATATATATATATATATATATGTTTGGATTACCTTTTCCCAATAATTTGTGATATTATTTTGCTTTAAACTCCTATGTTTGATTTTCTAAACTCTTATTAAATAATCCATCACATTAATATTTAATTAATCAGGTATTATTTAAAGTTATTCTTAATTTTAAAACTGCTCTAATAATTAATTAACCTGCAACTAACGGCAAGGTTGTACCTCAAAGAAGCAAAATAATTGTTAAAATTTCATGCATTATATCCTAAATTTCATTGCAATGCTTGCAATGTTATTTCCTGCGCAGGAGGTAGGGAATGCTAGTGTATGCTGTCTTCCCAGAAGCCTGTGACTGACTCCTCCTGCACCAACAGGAGGTGAAGAGTGAGGATGACTCAGCCGATGCCACCTACGTCATCCAGCTCTCCAAGCCCAAGAAAGAACCAAAGAGAGTTGAGATCGACCTTCAGTCTGAGGTTGACCGCCTGCAGAAGGAGCTGAAGGAGAAGGTGAAGCAGATCGAGGATATGGAAGAGAAGACGGAGACTCTGGAGCGGGAGAACAAGGAGCTCATGACCAAGAAACCCAAGTTCGGTGACTTGAGAAAGCAAGCCGAGCTGACCAAAGTTCAACAGAAGGTTAGCACCCCAAGTTCCAGTCATTGCTCAACCAACGTTTATAATATTTGTATATATCAATTAAAGGAACAATATAAAACTGAATATATGAAAAGCAACACGTGTACAAACGCTTAATAAGAAAATTATATGAAGGTTAAGCTTACTCAAAATTCGTTTTAGGTTGATGACCTAAATGAGGACATGAAGAGCAAAAACAGGGAAATCAAGGACCTTAAAAAGGAAATTGACAAGCGACCGCTGCCCAAAGATGTGGAGAAGACTATGGAGGTAAGTTACTAACACCCCCGAGTCCCTCCTCTGGTAATCTTATGCTCAGGAGAAGACGGAGACTCTGAATCTTATGCTCCCCCCACACATGTGCTTCCTCTCACACCTGTACTTCCGCCCCCACCTGTACCACCACATTTTCCAGAGTCGGCGTGGTCCAGAGTCGACCCCTATGTGCACCTTCAAAAATTTTGGATGTGAAATGTGAATTCTAGAGTCCGTAGACTTGTATCATTAGAATAAATATTTGGTAATTTAGAAATTGATATGTAAATTATGTTCCGATGATAGGTTTGTATTCTGGGTGCACCCTTTTGATTATTGGCATGTTACTCACGTGACTCCAGTATGATGAAGTGATTTGATGAAATATCTGTGCCCAAAAAGGTCACCGAAAGCTGTCGGGAATTGGGTTAAGGGTAAAATGACTTCCAATTTGTCTGGGTTCAAATCCTTCAGGAGTGAGGAGTTTTCTGTTGCATATTAGCTTGGGGACCATTCAAGCTTGCTGCCCATTTCATATATATATATATATATATATATATATATATATATATATATATATATATATATATATATATATTAGTATATTTTGGTAGCAGTCTTTCCTGTAGACATATATTATTAAATATGACCGAAAAAGTAAGATTAATAATTCTAACACGAATTTTCTCAATCTTTCGTACATTACGCTTCACTGTTGGAGGTAAATCAAAAATCACTTCTCCAAAATTCATTTTTATTTCTAGTCTGACGCGACACTGGCGCGTTTCGTAAAACTTATTACATTTTCAAAGACTTCACAAATACACAACTGATTAGAACTTACGTCTCTCTGATATTATATCTACATTTGAGTGAGGTGGGAAGGATGATGTGGCATCCTTCCCACCTCACTCAAATGTAGATATAATATCAGAGAGACGTAAGTTCTAATCAGTTGTGTATTTGTGAAGTCTTTGAAAATGTAATAAGTTTTACGAAACGCGCCCGTGTCGCGTCAGACTAGAAATAAAAATGAATTTTGGAGAAGTGATTTTTGATTTACCTCCAACAGTGAAGCGTAATGTACGAAAGATTGAGAAAATTCGTGTTAGAATTATTAATCTTACTTTTTCGGTCATATATAATAATATATATATATATATATATATATATATATATATATATATATATATATATATATATATATATATATATATATATATATATATATATATAACTGAAAACTCACACCCCAGAAGTGACTCGAACCCATACTCCCAGAAGCAACGCAACTGGTATGTACAAGACGCCTTAATCCACTTGACCATCACGACCGGACATAATGAGGTGATAGCCGAGGCTATTTGAACCACCCCACCGCCGGCACTCGGATAGTAATCTTGGGCATAGCATTTTACCAAATCACCTCATTCTTTGGGGCACACGTGAGGAACACAAATGCGAATTATTTCGTAGTTCATGTTTAGATTAGGACAATATGCAACTGAAAACTCACACCCCAGAAGTGACTCGAACCCATACTCCCCATACTGTCCTGGGGACCATTCAGGCTTGTTCGCATATATATATATATATATATATATATATATATATATATATATATATATATATATATATATATATATATATATATATATATATAAAATACACACAGAATTGGGCCGAATACACAGAGAGAGGGCCGTGAACCCTTACCAGAGCCCTGGTGGATATTTTGATATAAATACATATCATCACGAGTTTTTAAATAACTATTTCTAATGGATTACTTCCATTTGTAATTGCTGAATTATCAAAGGATAGTTTGTGAGCCATACAATGCCTTATATGATTTAATATAAGACATTAAACCAAATAAACCCTAAATTATTGTGACACTTTTTTATTAATTGTATCTGCTTTATCATAAATTAAGTGTACTGGACCTCCTGTCGACAGGACCTGAGATCGAAGCTGCAGGCGGCGGAGCAGCTCTGCGAGGAACTGATGGACGAGAACGAGGACTACAAGAAGGAGATCCGGGCCTTGGAGGAAGAGATCGAGGAGATGCAAGATAACTTCCGCGAGGAGCAGGCGGACGAGTATCGGGACCTCAAGCGGGAGCTCGAACAGACCGCCAAGAACTGCCGCGTTCTGCAGTTTAAACTTAAGAAGGCCGAGAGACGCTCAGATATGGTAAGTGGGGCGGGTTTCTTCCCGGAGACGGTGTTAAGGAGGATGTCTTAACCCTCTCTAACACTCCCTGTTAGCAGGCGGTGAGGCACAATAACGTGGCTAAAGTATGTTTTCCAGACCTTGACTTAGCAGTAAAATAGGTACCTGGGTGTTAGTCAGCTGTCACGGGCTGCTTCCTGGGGGTGGAGGCCTGGTCGAGGACCGGGCCGCGGGGACACTAAAGCCCAGAAATCATCTCGAGATAACCTCAAGACCACACACTATAAAAATCATTCTCAGAATCGACTTGAGAATGGTCCAGGACGGACCGAAACGTCGTCGTCCCTTCACCTTCTAGTGTGTGGTCTGGTCAACACTCCCTGTTAATTAACCCGACGGTGTTACGGTGTCTTAACTCATGGGTCCCTTAACCAACCATGAGTTACAAACCAAAGTGTCTACACTATTCCAGTACTAAAGAGCTGGGTAGACAATGACTTTTTGTTATAAACAGCTAAGATGCCCTGAAGGTGCATGTCAGGGAGGTTGGGGTGAAGATGAGTGACAAGAAAGGCTAAAGCTGTTTATAATAAGTGCTTTAAAAATCACATTCCGGGTTCCCACTTAAAACTTATACTCGTTGATATTTTCTTAAATCGTCAAACAATAAATAAATAAGAAAAAACTGATTTCAAACTGTATAATATAGAAAGCCAAAAGTATTAGTTTATTTTTTTCTAGCTGTCTTTTCACTTTAATTGCTTAAAAACTGATATTTTTATTTTTTTAATTGATAGTGAACTCGGATGATATTTTGTTTACTTAACGAATCCAAGTATCCCCTCCCCTCTCCTCTCTAAAAGTACCACACTAATGTCGTTAATTTCGTGTTGTAGATTTTCCCAACACAAATTTAATACAAATCGAAGAATCTGTACATTTTTTAAAGCAAAAATTACTTCAAATATGATCGTAAACAAAAGAATAAATTTTCTATACAATATTAAAAATCCTGTTTATATTCCTTTCAGCATAGAGCCCATTTTAATGAGGTCTTCAAAGTATAATATGTTACCAAGGTCGCTATTTCGATGCTCTGTAATACCTTGAAGCTCCTTTCAAACAATAATAATTCTATCAAATTGTATAAAATTAGCATATCATTAGATATATTGTGAAAGGTAAGGTATATTGTGTGGAGAAAGCGGTAAGCCAGTACGACTATGCAGCCCTTGGGAGCGATACGTGGACAGGGGACTGAGATATAAGGACAAGGGTCTGGAACATGAGAATAGGGGGGGGGGCTGGGATATGTGGACAGGGTTCTGGAACATAAGAATAGGGGGCTGGGATATGTGGACAGGGGACTGAAACATGAGAACAGGGGGCTGGGATACGTGGACAAGGCACTGGGATATAAGGACAGGCGTCTTGGATATGTGGACAAGGGCTTGAGATAGGGCGTAGGGGAGGAAAAGATGGCAAATGATATTTACAATAATAATGCCCATAAATAACTGAAGCAGAATAATCGGAATTTAAACCACATAACCAAACCCAAAAGCACCACAACCTAATCATAAATAATAACCCGAGGCAGAACAACCACAACATTATAACCAAAAGCCCATATCATGAGAATTAAAAACTCTCCAAAGAATATATATATCTACATATAACAGTGATATTCACATGGTTGATTAGCGTGAGTTATGGCCGCTCTCCCGTCGAACCTCTAGAGGTTCGAAACACAAACCGAAACTGTCTCTATTTTCCGCTTGTTACAACTTGTAATACAGTTGTTACATCTTGGCTTAACGTGTTTACGACGTATTAGAACGTTGTTACAACTTGCTATTTTGGTTTTTATAACTGGTTAGGAGGTGTTAAAACTTGTTCGAACGTTGTACCAACGTCGTAGTTTCGGTGTGTGTCTGGCGGGCTGGCACTAATTCATCTGTCTCTACGACAGCTGGAACGCGACAAGACTGAGATTGAAGACAAGCTCCACGAGCTACAGGTAGGAGAAGCAGACGTGGATAGAGCAGAGAAGATCAAGACGCTGGAGAAGGAGATCAACCTGGCCAAGGATGTGAGTTTCAGAGTGTTCTGGTGCATGGTTAACACCTTCCTCATCCCCCACTGGATTGTTCTTGTTGACTACGAGGCGTGTCTGTGGCCAGAGTCATTGTGAGGGGGGGGGGGAGGATTAAGTGTTTGCTTGTTTGTTTGTGGCTGTGAATATGTCTGTTCCCAGATTAATTGGATGTGGGTTGGATATATATATATATATATATATATATATATATATATATATATATATATATATATATATATATATATATATATATATATATATATATATATATATATTATGCTGGAAACAGACATATTCACAGACACAGACAAATGCGTGTGTGAGTGGTGTGTGTGCGTGCGTGTGCGTGTGTGCGTGTATTTAATTGCACCTACCTAACATAATCTACGGAGAGATAGATCTAGCATTAAGGCAGTTTCAAACAATATTTGTTTTACATACCAACGTTCTAATTATCATACCTACTACTGAAACTATGAATGAAATTATCTTTCACAACTATTCCCTCAAGTGCGTTTAACTTGTCAATCTTCCTCACAGAGGTCCAGCATTCTCTAACGTTTCAGCTGAGCATTTCCTACATGTATGCTTCCAGCTACATAAACACCATCAACTTATCCTCCAATGTGTATCTGGGCGATTCGCAGGACACTGAAATCAGACCCGAAACCTATACACCTTTGAACAAATCCACAAAGAGTCTATACATCTTTCAAAGATCACAGTGCCTTTGTTTACATTGATTTCAAAAAGAGTTGCTCTCACACCCCCACAGGTGTCAGTCAAGATGCACGAGGAGATGGAGAAGATGAAGCAACAGCTGGAGTCTGCAGAGCAGGACAAGAAGAAGCTGAGCGAGAGAGTACAAGAGAAGCCAGTTAGGCCAGGTGGCAAATACAGCGTAAGTATCGTAGTCAAGTCCAAGATTCATCACTTACGAAGCCTCTACAGCTTTCATCAATCGTGGGAGCTTTCTTTATATTTATTAAGCAGTTTACGAGCTTCTAAACTTCACATCCCAAGTTTATTATTGTTATAAACACACTCGTAATGCTTCGGAGTTCATAAACTGTTTAATATATGTAAACAAGACTGCCATGATTGGGGAAAGATGTACAGGTTTCGTAAGTGGTTGGCTAAATGTTTGATGAAGTCTAGTTCTGGTCCACAGCACCAGTAGAGAGGCTTACGGTGACCCGTGATGAACATATAATATGGGGTTTGAACGTGATATATAATGCTGGGTTTGAACGTGATATATAATGCTGGGTTTGAACGTGATATATAATGCTGAGTTTGGACGTGATATATAATGCTGGGTTTGGACGTGATATATAATGCTGGGTTTGGACGTGATATATAATGCTGGGTTTGGACGTGACATATAATGCTGGGCTTGGACGTGATATATAATGCTGGGTTTGGACGTGATATATAATGCTGAGTTTGGACGTGATGAAAATTTATAATCTTAGAGGGGTTGAACGTGAGAAAGATACGAAGGGGGGGGGGGGCGTGGTTAAGGTGGTTTAATAACGTCATTAAGATAGAAAAGGGATAGTTTAAACGTCATAAAGACACAGAAGAGGTGATTTAGACGTAGCTAAGACACAGAATAGGTGGTCAAGACCTTGTTAAAAGAAAGACAGGGGTGGTTCAGACGGGATTAAACACTAACAGGAGTATTGTCTGTGACAGCGTTCGCAGATGATGGGTCGCCAAGGGAGCCAAGACAACACGGACCAACTAATGAGAGACCTGCAGGACGCCACCGAGAGGGAGCAGGACCTCAAGGATCAACTCAAATTCGCCGAGGAAGAGGTGAGGAAGAGGGAATGGTTGAGGGAATTTTAGATTATTTTTTCAACACTATTTAGCTAAGGGTCCTCTGATAGGTTAGGTGGGCAGGAAATTTTGATAAAGTTTCAAAACGTTATGAAAAACGTTAATCAAAAGTTTCCTCTCCTAACCTTTCCGAGTAAGCCGGACGACTCAAACAGAAAACGGGTCAGTACGTCACATTCGTGAGCCGATTTCATTTCAAATTACGTCCATTTTTGGCCATAGCGCGCATACGAGCCAAAAGCGACGTTATTTTTAAGAGGACGGGTTAAACTGTTAACACTGTAAACGTTTAGGTAAGGCTCTTCGCCTTTGAGATCATCGGGTAAGTACCCGGTGTGTGAAACAAGGCTGTTTAGTGTCGTGGTGATACTCTCACCAAACAAGAAATGTCGATAACTACCAATTGTTTCATGCGGGTTCTGTTTTTCCCCTTTCACAAACCCTTTCCTTTCTTTCGACAGACAAAGAACTTGCGAAAGAAGATCTCGCGGGTCGAGGAGGAAAACGAGACACTCGCCCTCCAGCTCAAGAAGATGAGCAACAAGGCCAAAGCCAACAGACAGAGGTCGATCGAACGTACTGGCTCCTTGGAACGTTCCAGTTCTATAGAACGTGGCACGCTCAGTCGCCAGGGCTCTGCGGAGAAGCCGCCAGCTAAGGAACCTGACGAAGGCATTACCGAAGACCTCGATCCGACCGAACTAAAGGTTAAACAACTTAACCGGACGCAATTTAAGCATTTACTGATATAGATATACCTTCGCGAATATATACAGTGAAAGTTTAGTTGGATAGAAGATAGGAGGTACAAAGTTCTACCTCCTATCTCTTGATGAGCCATGGTAATGACTACCTAATCATCTCATCACAATGACTATCATCATCTCTTGATGATAAATAGTAATGTCTCACTCCTGTTTTTTCAGCTCCAGTTAGAGTTGAACGAGCAAGAGTCTGCTGTACTTAGAAGGAAGATTGAAGATCTTGAATCAGAGAACGAGCGGCTACAGAAGGAGATCAGGGGCGTCTTAGCGGCGACAGAGCCCAGGTCCACTAAGGTGAGAGGAGTTCTAGACGGCTTCCAGCACTGGAGATCAAGACGAGTTGACACGTCAATGCATGTTCTGCTTTTTTAATGATCTATTCCAGTAGTTCACCTCTTTCTATATATCTAATTGTCCCACCCTCACTCAGTTTTCTCTCTCTCTCTCTCTCTCTCTCTCTCTCTCTCTCTCTCTCTCCCTCTCCCTCTCCCTTCTCTCCCTCAAGTGTCCATAAACAACCTACTTCCTGTAACGGCCTCTAACATAAATATTCAACAATTGATTTATCTAATCTAAATATTTACATTTGATTCACTTTAGTGCAAACGTAAACACTAATAAATTGATTGACATGGAATTCACGAAGGTGAGAATTATCTGAAGACCTTCCTCCCTCTTTCCTTAAAGATCGATGGGGGACTCGAGGCTAAGAAACTGGAGAAGGAAGCAGACATCTTGAGGACCAAGATCCAGGAGGTTGAGGTGGAGAATGAACGTCTCTGTGATGAGAACAAGAGATTGCAGCTACGTATAGTGAAGCGTCTCCCTCTCTCAGGCACAGAGTCCAGCTATATTGAGAGACAGGTGAGTGGGTGAAGTCTCTCTGGCCACCTATGGGGAACATATGAGTAACGTTGAAGCCATACTTCACGGTAACTGTTAAACTGTCATGAAAATACGAATTTTGTTCATGGTTAATAATGTTCTGCAATCATATTCTTCGTTTTATATGCTAAAATAGTTTTTTTAAGTTTCACTATTCGTCATGGAATGCATTGTCAGATGTTTTGAATTCTTAAACGTTTATAATATCAAAAGACTCGGCTTTTATTGTGTATATTTATGTAGTGAGGAAAGAGTCACGTGGCTCTAAGACTTAGAGCCAAGTGACTTAGAGTCTAGGTCTTAAAAGTATCGGCGGTCAGCGTATTAAAATCAACGTTACAAGCAAAGAGATGGAGAAGAACGTGTACTGTTCCATGATAACCTCTTAGGCTCAAATCTTTGATCACAGGTGATGGATGATAAGGTGAGGCGGTTGGATAAGAAGCTGAAGGAGGCCAACGAGAAGTTGAAGACCTTACAGGTGAACGCAGCTGTGGCCACGACAGGCAGCGACCTTGAGGGTAAGACCATAGGTCCCGGAGGCGGGTCAGAAGTGCTGCAGATAACAAAGGAGAAAGATCGTCTCAAGAGTGAACTCACAGAGAAAGACCTTGCAATCAGTGACTTGAAAAAGAAAGTAGACGAGTGGCAAGGGAAGTACGACAAGATGTTTAAAGACTGTGAAGAAATGAAAAGATCATCTTCTTACAAGGACAGGACTCCTAAGGTGCCGAAGGACTTCACGCCGAAGGCAACACTCATTAAGTGGGTCAATGAACTTGAGACAGAGTGTGGTAAGTGGCACTGACCTCTCACCAACACGTGGCGCTGGCAATCGACTTTACATGCATGGAACTACCTCTCCCACATCTTTAACTATTTGTTTATTAAACGTCTATTTGAACTGATTTTTGTTGTGTTCACTGCTTTACTGTTTTAATCGAACCATTTCACCTGAATGGAGTTTTTATAATATTTCTCAGCTTTATAGGTATTTTTTTGGTATATAATAAATCCCATTATATCTTGGACAAGCACTGCCCAAGACGACATTTCATATCGCTAACGTGACTTGATCTATCGACAGCCAAGCTCAATTCGAGACTAAAATTCATGGAAAAGGAACAACAAGTTTTAGATGAGATGAACCATGGCAAGAGAGACTCTCAGAACGCTCTTGGTGGCCAAATGTGCCACATGCTCTCTAATGAGAGCGCGAGCTTGAAGGTGGAGAACGCGAGCCTCAGAGCGAAGCTGGAGTTCGAGGCGAGTGAGGTGAGGCAGCTGAAACGCGCCTCAAGAGACCTCGAGGAGGAGAGAAAGAAGTTGCTGGAGAAGCTAGAGATCAGGAAAGAGAGCGACAAGGTGATCAATGATCTGATCGCCTCGGAGCAATGGGTCTTTAAGAAACCGGAAGAGTTTGCAACGAGGTCTGTCCTTAGGGGAATGATTAGTGATCTAAATATTGAATGTGGTAAGTGGGGACTGTTTTATGGCTGGGATCTAGTTACTACAGAACGTAGAGAGTTCCCTGGAAACACAAACCGAAACTGTCTCTATTTTCCGCTTGTTACAACTTGTAATAAAGTTGTTACATCTTGGCTTAACGTGTTTATGACGTATTAGAACGTTGTTACAACTTGCTATATTGGTTGTTATAACTGGTTAGGAGGTGTTAAAACTTGTTCGAACGTTATACCAACGTCGTAGTTTCGGTGTGTGTTTGGCGGGTTGTGTATCGAGTACAAGAAACTGTACCAGTGTCTTTAGCTACTTTTTATGTCTTTCAATTAGCATGTCCAGATATGTGTCTCAAGTGGCTTGCTAGCACAATGACATGTTAATGTGTATAAGGCATGCTTCAATTACTCCCAAAAGAGTCGACACAAATGAGCATGAAAGGTCATGTGATATACATTCGACGATATACATGACGTTCAAATGTCAAGAACGTCTTAATAGCTGCAGAAAATATGGCGTGTCTCTTCCAGATCCCACCAGAAGGTTTAGTAGTTCAACAAAAATCGACTTGAGAATGGTCCAGGACGGACCGAAACGTCGTCGTCGCTTTACTTTCTGGTGTGTGGTCTGGTCAACATATTTCAGCCACGTTATTGTCACTCCTCGTCTGCTTTTGGTGCTCATTTTGTCAGCGGAGTGCAGAAGGCTGGGCCCCTCTTCCCTCTCTCTCTCCCACTCTCAGCACGGTAGATTGACAGAGAGAGAAAATCGCGTTTTGTATCTTTCCTCCCATCCCTCGGGGCATCGTAAGATATCATAGTTTATCTTGACTGAACGTCTTCATCGGTTTTGCATAGTTCATTTATTATTATGCACCCCATACCCATTTTATGGGGGGTAGTGGGAGAGGTTACAGAAGCACTTAATGGGATCAGGAACTTTACTTTTAAGATCATTTAGCTAAGCAAGTAACAATCTTTGCAAGTGGTGCAAGAAGTGGCCCACAACAGTCGCTATGAAGATGCGAGGAATCAAATTGCTGTGCAACTATTTTCCTAATAAACTGCCTGGTGAAAATTAACAAGTTTACCTCCTTTAATCAACTTTATTTTGACCCTCAAAGTCCCAAGGTGCTAATAGTCTTCGAGACCCAGCCAGTGTCGCCCACACGCCCCCTGAATCAGGGGTTCTTAACCTTTTGACGATTAGATCCCCCCCCCTCCCCCTACCCGACCGTCCAAGTGGTTGGGCACCATTCCTTTCCCCCCGTCCCATCCCAAATCCTTATCTTGACCCCCTTCCAAGTGCTATATAGTCGTAATGGCTTGGTACTTTCTTCTCATAACTCCTTCCCTCTATATTACCTAATATATCCCGATTTCTCCCATTTTCCTATTTTTGTCTCGACACCAACTCAACACATGCCAAAAGTTTTAAGAAAAATATCAACACATGCTAAAAGTTTCACGTAAACTCATTAGAATTGGCAATTTTAGCAGCGATAGGCAGAAACGGTAAAAGTATAATGTAGATACCCCATGAAGATGTCATGGATGAAAAAGCATATTTCTCTGTCATATCAGGTTTTTGTAGAAGAGAAACCGTCTTAAAGTGTAGAAGAGAAACCCTATTAAAGTGTGGAGGAAAAAAACTGCTGGAAATGTATAGTGTGGCACAGTGTGTGTTGATAGAAGAACAACTATCTGAAAATGTATAGCATGGCCTCGACAAAAGGCTGAAAAATGGCCAATTCGCGAAGAATTTGTTGGAAAATTCTACAAATTAAAAATCTTATGCAATTGAGTTCTATTTTTAATTTTATTTTGCTTGTTATAGATTATTTTATTAGGTAGTTCGAAAGAATTTTTGTATATATATCTAAGATAACAACAATTTATCTGTAATTTTAACATCTAGAAAACATGAAGAAACATGATACATTTTAAAATCTCTGGTGTTTTTAATCCATACACAGGAGTATGGTATTTTAATCCTGTTAATTTATGTTATATACTATAAAGTAGTTAGACCTTTTTAATATATATTTTATATTTGTTTAGACTTTTTAACATGCAAAATTTAATAATATAAAATTATGAATTTTTGAACACAGTTCTTATAATGATATTTCATGATAATTTTAGTGTGACTTTTCATTATATACTTTGCTACTTAAAATATTATTTATTATGTTATATATTTATGTTATATACTACAAAGTAGTTAGACCTTTTTAATATATATTTTATATTTGTTTAGACTTTTTAACATGCAAAATTTAATAATATAAAATTATGAATTTTTGAACACAGTTCTTATAATGATATTTCATGATAATTTTAGTGTGACATTTCATTATATACTTTGCTACTTAAAATATTATTTATTACTTAAATATTCTTTGCAATTTATTCATGTTATTAGGACCTGTTATTTATGTTCTGTTCAAGTATCCTATTGTGTTATGCATGCTAATATGTGTTATCATATTCTGTTATTTATCCTAGTGTGTGTCATGTATACAATTGTGTGTTATGTAGCCTGTTGTGTCATGTGTATCCTAATGTGTCCTAAATATCATGCTACATGTATTATATGTGTTATGTATCTTATTGTCCGTTATGTACTCTAATGTGTGATGTGTTGTGTTCTGTGTCTTATTTTACGTTATGTATCGTACTGTGTCTCGTTTTGTGTTATGTATCATAGTGTTTTCTGTATCATTTTGCATGTAATGTGTGTGTTTTGTATTTATTGTATATTATGTATCATGTGTTATAAATTCTGTTATATTTATGTATCTGAAAAGTCTGATGAATCATAATATGTTGACACATCTTTTGTCTTTCTTGCATTCCCTTATTCTCCTGCTCCTCTACCCACGTACACACGCCCCGGCTTCTCTTCCCACGTACACACGCCCCGGCTTCTCTTCCCATGTACACACGCCCCGGCTCCTACCCCACGTACACACGCCCCGTCTCCTCTCCCACGTACACACGCCCCCCGTCTCCTCTCCCCACGTACACACGCCCCGTCTCCTCCCTCACGTACACACGCCCCGGCTTCTCTTCCCATGTACACACGCCCCGGCTCCTACCCACGTACACACGCCCCGGCTTCTCTTTCCACGTACACACGCCCCGGCTCCTACCCCACGTACACACGCCCCGGCTTCTCTTTCCACGTACACACGCCCCGTCTCCTCCCCCACGTACACACGCCCCGTCTCCTCTCCCACGTACACACGCCCCCCGTCTCCTCTTCCCACGTACACACGCCCCGTCTCCTCCCTCACGTACACACGCCCCGGCTTCTCTTCCCACGTACATACGCCCCGTCTCCTTCCCCCACGTATACACGCCCCCCGTCTCCTCCCCCACGTACACACGCCCCCCCCCGTCTCCTCCCCGTCCCCACGGACACTCCCCACGTACTCCCCTGCAACGCTCCACACTCGGGCCTGCAGCCAGTCTTCACATGGCGCTGACGAGCGCAGAGAAGAAGAAGAAAGGTCGACCCAGTTCAGAGGACCTGACCAGCCTGCGCGATCTCGAGGACAAACTCGAGCGGGAGAAGGAGCGCAACGAAGAACTCTCCCGGCAGCTCAAGGAGGAGCGGGAGAAGCTGGAAAAGCCTTTAGCGAACAAACGTGAGTTTACGGGACGGACGGACGGACGGACGGACGGACGGACGGACGGACGGACGGACGGACAGACGGACGGACGGACGGACGGACGGACAGACAGACGGGTCAATGTTGAATATTACTACATTGGTGTATTTCAATATTCTATAACGCGACACTATTAATTTTAATGACGATTAGGAAAATAGAGTTTTCTCTTGGATATGAGAAAACTTGGCTGAGAGAGAGAGAGAGAGAGAGAGAGAGAGAGAGAGAGAGAGAGAGAGAGAGAGAGAGAGAGAGAGAGAGAGAGAGAGAGAGAGAGAGAGAGAGAGAGAGAGAGAGAGAGAGAGAGAGAGAGAGAGAGAGAGAGAGAGAGAGAGAGACAGAGAGAGTGACTCACAAGAGAGGCTTGGGAACGTCTGATACACGACTGTAATAACAAGTTCCTGAGTACTTTCGTCACACAATTTTGCTGGCCCTCAGGCTGGTCTGGGGAACACGAGAACGAACTTCGTCGTTACGAGGAGAAGATCAACTCCCTCAAAAAGGAGCTCACTCAAGAGAAGGAGCGGAACGAGGAGATGAAGGCCAAGCTCGGTGAAGGAACTGTGGTGGGCTTCGAGGAACTTCGCTCAGCACAGACCGAGAAACACAAGCTTCAGAAGGAGGTAAGACGCCCATAGCTGATACAGGACAGTTACAACAGTGGTTGATAAGTTCAGAGGAAGACTGTGTCGACAAAATGTGTATATATATTGTATGTGTGTGTGTGTGTGTGTGTGTGTGTGTGTGTGTGTGTGTGTGTGTGTGTGTGTGTGTGTGTGTGTGTGTGTGTGTGTGTGTGTGTGTGTGTGTGTGTGTGAACTCACCTAGATGTGCTTGCGAGGGTTGAGCTTTGGTTCTTTGGTCCCGCCTCTCAACTGTCAATCAACTGGTGAACAGATTTCTGAGCCTACTGGGCTCTATCATATACACATCTGAAACCGTGTTGTGTGTGTGTGTGTGTGTGTGTGTGTGTGTGTGTGTGTGTGTGTGTGTGTGTGTGTGTGTGTGTGTGTGTGTGTGTGTACGTGCGTGTGCGTGTTAGTGTGTACAGCATCAGTTGCTCATCGCTCGTTCCTCTAGCGAGTGGTCATTCTCACGATGCTCAGATTATATATTTCTCACCCAAGGAGTGAATGTCTCATCAGTGATGTGCTTCTTGGGTGACCTGGAAATGACAACATCGCTATATTGAACTTTCTGAGATATGTGTTACTACGACTCACTAATCACCTGTACCTTTTGAATGCAGGTTTGGACGTAACAGTTTGATGAAACACTGCAATATAATAATGTCACTGAATGAAGCTTCAGGAAGTTTAAATTAACCTAACTTTAAATTAGTTAGGATTGCAGTGATAATTAATATTAGTAAACTGTTATAATCCCATAACATTTAATGAAATATTAACAGGTCTTCGTTCTCATTCTAACCCAACCTAAGCTAACCTAACTTAGCTAATCAAACCTGACCAAACCTCACCTCTCCTAACTTAACCTAATTATACCTAACCTAACCATACCAAATGTATGGTAAGGTTACCATACCTAACCGTAAGGTTACCATATCATACCTAACCAAATCTAACCTAACTTAACCTAATCTAACCTCACCCGTGGTGTGAAGTCTCTGGGTAGTGGTGTTGCCAACCTCATGTGATTATATCAATGGAATGGTTAACCAAAATTTCGGGTGTGCCCAACCAGCTCTCCTCCGCGCAGCAGACAACCCTCATCCTGGAGAAGAAGCTGAAGGAGGCGGAGGAGAACCTCAGAATGATGGAGAGAACAGAGAAGAGAAACAAGAACGCTATTGAGAAGCTCGAGCTGAAGGTGAGATGTTAGTTAGACGAGAGAGTGAGGTTAAGAATGAGGTCTTGAACTAGCTGTTAGTGAAGATCATTAGGAGAGAGTGAGGTTAAGAACGAGGCCTTGAACAAGCTGTTAGTGAAGATCATTAGGAGAGAGTGAGGTTAAGAACGAGGCCTTGAACTAGCTGTTAGTGAAGATCATTAGGAGAGAGCGAGGTTAAGAACGAGGCCTTGAACTAGCTGTTAGTGAAGATCATTAGGAGAGAGTAAGGTTAAGAACGAGGTCTTGAACTAGCTATAAGACCTGTGGTAGTGACTCCAAACCCGTGTATGGGCTGGTTTGTTTAGTGACTACCACGAATACAACCATTATAGCCACCATGACTGCTATTACTACCGTAGTAGGGATGATAGAAATGGTGGAGGTGGTGGTGGTAGAAATAGTAGTGGTGGTATGAAAAGGATTATTGGTGGCAGTCCACCCGGAGCTCAGGTAGGGACGTCCACCCAGGGTTCAAAAAGTGACGTCCACCCAGGATTAAAAAAGGGACGTCCCCCAGGATTCAAAGAGGGACGTCCACCCAGAGGTTCAAAGAAGGACGTCCACCCAGAGGTTCAAAGAAGGACGTCCACCCAGGGGTTCAAAGAGGGACGTCCACCCAGAGGTTCAAAGAAGGACGTCCACCCAGGGGTTCAAAGAAGGACGTCCACCCAGGGGTTCAGAAAGGGGTGACCACCAGGGTTCAGCATGAGACGTCCACCCGATCTTCAGAAAGGGGGGGGTCCACCCAGGGTTCAAAACGGAAAGAGTACACAAAAGTCTCCTGAACCAACAGGATGCTAATATATATAATCTTCCGGATACTACCCTTTCTTCTACCGTCTCCAGTATATACATTTCTCTAATTTCCATTTAACAGTGCAAGCAAACTGTAAATTTAATAATTTCAATATGTCTGAATAGCTTCTTGTATTCGCTGCTTGAGGTGCTTTTGATGTCTTTTATGGAGGTAACTAAAAGTTAGGGTGAAGACGCTCTTCTTCTCCTTCACTCTTCACAACTTTGTCCTTGTGGCTAAACTTGCACACTTGGGGCCAGATTCACGAAAGCACTTACGCAAACACTTACGAACCTGTACATCTTTTCTCAATCTTTGGCAGCTTTGTTTACAATTATTAAACAGTTAATGAGCTCGGAAGCACCAGGAGGCTGTTTATAACAATAACAACAGTTGAATGGGAAGTTTTCATGCTTGTAAACTGTTTAATAAATGTAACCAAAGCCGTCAAAGATTGAGGAAAGATGTACACGTTCGTAACTGCTTGTGTAACTGCTTTCGTGAATCTGGCCCCTTGATCTAAATCACTTATTCTCTTATTAATCAAGAAATCCGTGTATCATGTGGATGACATAATGTGTCATGTATCATGTGTCGATGATATTAATCCATCTATTTTTCCCCTCTTCAGCATGCTGATGCTAATTCTTCGTACTTATTCATCTATTCATCTATGCATGGCCTGTCTCTTTCTCCTTCATTGCTGCTACCTTGATGTTGCTGGACGTTCCGTGGGCGATGCTCCGGGCTCCTTGAATGTGTGACTGTGCGAACAGTTGGATGAGGAGAAGAACAACCTGACGACAGCTGAAGAACGCCAGAAGGAACTGACGGCTTCCTGGTTCAAGGAGCGTGATGACCTCAGAAAGGACCTCACTGAATACAAGAAAGCCAGGGAGAAGGCTGAACGCGACCTACGGACAAGCAAGAGAACGAGGGACACTCTGGTGAGAGGTTGTCACCACTAGGCTGTGAAGGGGAAGGGGCTAAGGGGCTAAGGGGCTAAGACTGGTGTCTTAGTTCCCCAGTTAGAAGGTTGGTGTATCGCCAGGGTATCACTATTAGGATTTGGGATAAGTGAGCTGGAACACTTCCACATTTGTGTGTGTGTGTGTGTGTGTGTGTGTGTGTGTGTGTGTGTGTGTGTGTGTTCCCTATTTGTGCGAGTAGGATCGAGCCGTTAGCTCCTGGACCCCGCCGTTCTGTCGGATATCTAATGCATTGACTACCGACCTATTTTTCTTTAACATATTCTCACACACACACACACACACACACACACACACACACACACACACACACACACACACACACACACACACACACACACACACACACACACACACACACACACACACACTCACACACACACACACACACACATCAACAGGATGCAGCTCGCAACAGCTGACTAACTCCCAGGTACCTATTCATTGCCAGATAAACAGAGGCAACAGAAAAATGAAACTCTGCCCATTTATTTCTGTTTCAGCCGGGAATCGAACCCGAGTCCAAGAACTACGAATCCCGAACGGTGTCTGCTTGGCCGCGAGACCTATATGTCTGTATCAGTAACACTTCCCAAGAGGTTTTGAGAAAGAGTGAAGATCGAGTGATACCGAAAGACTCTGTGAAGGGGTTGGGTTGAGACAGGTGTTAGGTTGATCAACCAGCTTGTTGTGTCAGACGTGGAGTAATAAGACGGGGAGCCAGGTCGGCCGAGCGGACAGCACGCTGGACTTGTGATCCTGTGGTCCTGGGTTCGATCCCAGGCGCCGGCGAGAAACAATGGGCAGAGTTTCTTTCACCCTATACCCCTGTTACCTAGCAGTAAAATAGGTACCTGGGTGTTAGTCAGCTGTCACGGGCTGCTTCATGGGGGTGGAGGCCTGGTCGAGGACCGGGCCGCGGGGACACTAAAAAGCCCCGAAATTATCTCAAGATAACCTCAAGATAAGCCCCAGTAAGGAAGACATGCACGAGGCATGCCAGTCATTCACTGATTAAATACAAATGCTTTCAAAGAAGGTAACTGTAGAATGATTGTTAATTATTCACCCACATATGTTAGTCCTATCACGACTGAAATTAAATAACATTGAGCTGCTCTTAAACTATAGCAGGAGGTTATCTTGAGGTGATTTCGGGGCTCAGCGACCCCACGGCCCGGTCGTCGACCAGGCCTCCTGAAAAAGGAGCAACGAATGTTGAGCCATAAAATATATAACATTACCTTGGTGTTTAAGACAAACTAATCATCAGCTCACAAGTAAAAAGATCAAGGTTGATACATAAGCTTAAGAAACAGGAAGAATAAGCTTAAGTGAAACGAGCATATGATTACAGAGACACAGAATACCTTAATATCACAGACTTAAAGAATATAAGCTTCCCAAGACGCTCTTCAAGCAGCATGATGAATATAAATAATGAACAGGTATCGTAGCTAAGACTAATTCATCAATTATCGTCAATATCACTCAGTACAGCTCAGTGCTAATACAATAATAATAAATTACAAATATAATAATTCGAGACTTGCATTTTAAAAACATGATTATACACATAATAAACGGGAATCAAATACGAATACAACTGTTCTTGATAGGGAACTGTATTAATACATCTGAGCAGCGGAAAATACAATAAATACCGCGTGTATATTACACAGTTGCTTTGTGCCTGGCTTGGCCTTATAATCGAGAGTATTACTTGTCTTGGCTCTTTTATATCTATCTGTACTAATTTGTAAGTATATTAGTGCCTTGGTCAATCTGGAGCCTCACGTTCTGTACGCTTCCCGATCAATCAGGAGCCTGTCATCCATAGCATAACCCGATCAATCAGGACCCTGTCATCCAGAACATAATCCGATCAATCAGGAGCCTGTCATCCATAGCATAACCCAATCAATCAGGACCCTGTCATCCAGAACATAATCCGATCAATCAGGAGCCTGTCATCCGTAATATATCCCAATCAGGAGCCGGAAACTCTAAACATATTCCAATCTCTAATATCATTCCCCTTTGACCACAGGAGTCTAAGCTGGAGGAGGAGAAACAGAGAGCAGACGAAGCTTTCGCGTCCAAGAAGAAAGAGAACGAAGAACTCAAGACTCTTAAGAGAGAGAAAGATGAACTCACTCAAGAGCTGGTGGAACTCAAGGACACCATCAGCCAAGTAAGTCCTGCCACAACAGGCAAATTAACCCCACAAGTATAGTCTTTGTTGTCATCTGAGGTTGAGGGTCCAGGCGTCCCAACATCGGCTAATATTATCTGTAAAACCTCCCAGGCTTGAGTGAGGGTCAACTTGAGTGTATGACTTCGTCCTTACCTTGAGGTGCTTCCGGGGCTTAGCGTCCCTGCGGTCCGGTCGTCGACCAGGCCTCCTGGTTGCTGGACTGATCGACCAGGCCTCCTGGTTGCTGGACTGATCGACCAGGCCTCCTGGTTGCTGGACTGATCGACCAGGCCTCCTGGTTGCTGGACTGATCGACCAGGCCTCCTGGTTGCTGGACTGATCGACCAGGCCTGCTGGTTGCTGGACTGATCGACCAGGCCTCCTGGTTGCTGGACTGATCGACCAGGCCTCCTGGTTGCTGGACTGATCGACCAGGCCTCCTGGTTGCTGGACTGATCGACCAGGCCTCCTGGTTGCTGGACTGATCGACCAGGCCTCCTGGTTGCTGGACTGATCGACCAGGCCTCCTGGTTGCTGGACTGATCGACCAGGCCTCCTGGTTGCTGGACTGATCGACCAGGCCTCCTGGTTGCTGGACTGATCGACCAGGCCTCCTGGTTGCTGGACTGATCGACCAGGCCTCCTGGTTGCTGGACTGATCAACCAGGTCCGGTCATATATTGGGCAACACTGTTTTCCACAACTAATCCCAGTAATGTAATGTGTCAGGGTGAGACAGAGGTTGGCTGTTCTTGGTAAATACTGATAATTACAAAGTTTGAGTATAAGATTGTGGCGTTGTCTAAGAACTACAACTCCCACAGCTGGAGAAGGCGAAGGACTCGTCAGGAAGCAAACAACGACGCGACCTGGACACCCTCAAGAAGGAGAAGGACGACGTGACAGTACGGATGAATACACTGGAGACCGAGCTCAAGGTATCATCAAATACCCCTTATAAAAGCGTCTTGAGGTGTTCCTTAACACCTTAAGGAACGCCTTGAGGTGTTCCTTGTCTCAGCACTCAGATCAAGAGACAGCTCGCTGTAGATACATATTTTGATGGTTATTAACATTTTCAACATTCTTGAAGATTTTTGTTTTTGGGAAAAATATTTTTTTTGGCATTTATTATCTAGTTTAGAAACATATAACTTCAATCCGGGAACACGTCAAGACAGTCTGAGCTTAGAGGCTCATATCCCAGCTTAGAAAATCTTAATATATTATCTATACATAAATATTATGAATGAGATATATATATATATATATATATATATATATATATATATATATATATATATATATATATATATATATGTCGTACCTAGTAGCCAGAACGCACTTCTCAGCCTACTATGCAAGGCCCGATTTGCCTAATAAGCCAAGTTTTACTGAATTAATATATTTTCTCTAATTTTTTTCTTATGAAAGGATAAAGCTACCCATTTCATTATGTATGAGGTCAATTTTTTTTATTGGAGTTGAAATTAACGTAGATATATGACCGAACCTAACCAACCCTACCTAACCTAACCTAACCTATCTTTATAGGTTAGGTTCGGTTAGGTAGCAGAAAAAGTTAGGTTAGGTTAGGTTAGGTAGGTTAGGTAGTCGAAAAAACATTAATTCATGAAAACTTGGCGAATTAGGCAAATCGGGCCTTGCATAGTAGGCTGAGAAGTGCGTTCTGGCTACTAGGTACGACATATATATATATATATATATATATATATATATATATATATATATATATATATATATATATATATATATATATATATATATATATATAATTACAATTCATCTCACAATCTAAATTTGAGCTGTTTTGTATTCAATATGAAAACACTAAACAAAGACAACTATAACATCCCTTAACGTTTAAAACAATAAAGAGAAACGTTTCAGCTGTTTCTCTTATTAATCATTAAGAGAAACAGCTGAAACCCTCATTAAAGCTTAATTAACAAAGTAACGAACAGACGAAGAGCCACTGTATTAGGGTGATGTTATTAACAATATGGTAGAAAAGGTTTGTATCACATCTGCAACCTTAAATGATACAGAGGTTACAGCAATTAATACAGATACCATTTTACTGTATTTCCCCGTCCTGCAGGCGGAGCAGAAACGCCGCGATCGCCTGGAGAAAGAAGCCATAAGCCTCAGGAACAACGCCAAGATAGAAGCTAAACTCAGGGAAGACCTCGACGCCCTTCGTCAGGAGTATAAAGGTTAGCATCATCTGTTGACCAGACCACACACTAGAAGGTGAAGGGACGACGACGTGTCGGTCCGTCCTGGACCATTCTCAATGGTCCAGGACGGACCGAAACGTTCTCAGTCGATTGTGAGAATCGTTCTCGTTCGTTCTCGAGACTCGTGGTTCTCAGTCGATTGTGAGAATGGTCCAGGACGGACCGAAACGTCGTCGTCCCTTCACCTTCTAGTGTGTGGTCTGATCAACATACTTCAAGCCATGTCATTGTGACTCATCGCCTGCACTTAGCATCATCCGCTTTGTGTACAGCTGTTATAGGCATGACCACCACGAGTTGTCATGTCTCCCGGAGAGTTCAGGCTCTTGGGCACTGATTCATCATTCCGAGCTCCTATCCTAACTCTTATCCTATCTACACATTGCTTTCAGGTGCTGTGTAGTCAAACTTTCTTAGCGCTCAGGGGCCAGATTCACGAAACACTTACGCGAGCACTGACGAACCTATACATCTTTTCTCAATCTTTGGCGGCTTTGTTTACAATTATTAAACAGTTAATGAGCTCCGAAGCACCAGGAAGCTGTTTATAACAATAACAACAGTTGAATGGGAAGCTTTCATGCTTGTAAACTGTTTAATAAATGTAACCAAAGCCGTCAAAGATTGAGGAAAGATGTACACGTTCGTAAGTACTTGTGTAACTGCTTCGTAAATCTGGCCCGTGCACTGAAAATCTCCTTACGTCCAAGACGTCCTGTGAAAACTTATATTTTTCCTCAGATCTGGAGAAAACTCGTGCTAAGGAGAAGAAGGAGTGGCAAGAGCTTCGTACCAAGTACGACTTGTTGGAGGAAGATTACGTCGTCCAGAAGGCGCATGTAAGACCTTTTATTCTTCTTATAAGTTCTTATAAGACTGATTCTTGCAGTCCTTCACATGTTACCATATGCTGTTTGTTTGTAAATCATCAGGATTCATCAGCCACCCAAGTGTTCACTTACGAAACCAGTACATCTATCCCTAGATCATGGCGGTTTAATCTGTATATATTAAACAGTTTACGAGCTTGGAAAATTCACAACTTAAAGGTTATTAGTGTTATAAACAACCTCGTAGTGCTTTAGAGCTCATAATTCTTTTCAGAAGTGTAAACTAACCCACGATGATTGAGGAAAAGATGTACAGGTTTCGTAATTTGACACATAAATGGTGGACATGTCCAGCCTAACATGTCTTCGAGAGCTTCAAGCCACCATAACTTAAGAACTTTGAAGATAACAAGTGAATAAGACTGGTTTATGATCTCAGTGTTCAATCATGACTGGTTCGTGACATTAATGTTCAAAAATGACTGGTTCGTGACATTAATGTTCAAAAATGACTGGTTTGTGACATTAACGTTCAATTATGACTGGTTCGTTACTTTATTGTTCAATAATTGTTTTTGTTTCAGTTCACTGTGAACCGTGAAGGCATCCAGCAAGATTACGAGACCCTTAAGAAGGATCACAGCACGATTGAGTCTGAACTCAAGACACTGAGAGAAACATACAACGTGCGTCAGGACACATGGATCAAGGAGAAGCTTGGCATGCAGGTGTGGATAGTGTGGATCCGACAGTACTAATCTAATATTGACATGAACAAATCCACAAGGGCCGTGACGAGGATTCGAACCTGCGTCCGGGAGCATCCCAGACACTGCCTTAATCGACTTGTTCATTTGATGCATCACGTTAGTGTGATCTCTGCGTGTGCTAATATTGACATTTAGATATGTCAATATTACACATATTGACATTTGTGTTAGATATACACACATGCGGGACACTGACCCATTCTCCATTCCTTATACAGGAGCAGCTGCGAGAACTGGAGAATCGTCTCAATAAGGTGTCCACCGACCCGGCGTCTTACTCCGAGAGAAAGCGACTCAAAGATATCATTGAGGACAAAAACCAGCAAATTGAGAAGTTGAAGCGGGACGCAGACGGCATCTCGGACCAACTCTCCTACCACAGACGAGAGGCTAGTACCCACCCACCTGTTGGGTGACATTGTTATATGGGTCCCATCTGTTGGGTGACAGTGTTATATGGGTCTCATCTGTTGGGTGACAGTGTTATATGGGTCTCATCTGTTGGGTGACAGTGTTATATGGGACCCATCTGTTGGGTGACAGTGTTATATGGGTCTCATCTGTTGGGTGACAGTGTTATATGGGTCTCATCTGTTGGGTGACAGTGTTATATGGGTCTCATCTGTTGGGTGACAGTGTTATATGGGTCCCACCTGTTGGGTGACAGTGTTATATGGCTCCCATCTGTTGGGTGACTGTTATATGGGTCACAACTGTTGGGTGACAGAGTTATATGGGTCCCAACTGTTGGGTGACAGTGTTATTTGGGTCCCAACTGTTGGGTGACAGAGTTATATGGGTCCCAACTGTTGGGTGACAGTGTTATATGGGTCCCACCTGTCAGACGACACTGCCAAATGACTTCCGTCATACTAATAACCAGTTGTGTAAATATTACAACATTTGCAATATGATAATTGCACATATCTCATAATACCCAAAATAAACATCTGAAAATATAGGAAATGATAAGTTTACCTTCTATATTAAACCATCAAGTTTTACCTTGTATTGTAACTTACTCTCTGGATACAAATATCAGCAAAAAAAAAAATCACATTTTACCGTCCAACTCCTCAAAAAAATCATATTCGACATAATTTTTCTCAAGACATAAACCTCAAACCTTACATATATGAGACGTGTTTTAAACTAAGCTGTGTATGTCCTCCAGAGTGAAGACCTTCGACGCAAGGTGGAGGACCTGGAGAAGATACAACAGATCAACGAGAAGAGGACCTCCTCCTTGGCCAACGATACCTCCACTTACGACAACACCATCAGAGAACTTCGAGCCAAGTAAGACCATCACACACCTGTACTCACCTAGTTGTATTCACCTAGTTGTGCTTGCGGGGGTTGAGCTCTGACTCTTTGGTCCCGCCTCTCAACTGTCGGTGTGTGACCAGACATGTGTGGAGGTGTTTAATACCAGATGTCTTTGTGTGTTCTTGATTGACGAAGGTAATGCATGACGGGCTTTGCGAAATATTTGGTGCTACGGGTTCATGATTCATGCAATAGTGCTTGGGACCATTTCCTTTCATCTGATGCCTCTGTCAGCTAGCAGTAAATAGATACCAGGGAGTTAGACAACTGCTAAGGGTTGCATCATGGGTAAGGTCAGACATTGGCTTGCTAAGACCTCGATAAGCTTATGTACAAGCTTCCTTCCCCTTGACATCGTGGAACCAAATCATGCCAGATATACTTTAGTTAAGAGTTTCTTCTTGCCTGAATGCCTGCAATATAATAAGCTTGCTGAGTGCACAAGCTTGCATTACGATAATCCCATGTTCTATAAACTGATATTTTGGTTATATCTCGTTACATCAATGCTTTCAACAGCCTCCTCGTCAATTATATAAACCCTAGAACAAAATATCAAAGTTATGCCTATAAACGTTTTGTATTATCATTTTCTATGGATGGGATGTACATGGGACACTCTCCAATTCACGTTGTGTTCAAAACATCAATACTCTTTTAATATGATGTTTCAGAAGTAGTGGCCTGATTTCTATGTGAAGAAAAAACTTAGCTGAAATAGAAAAGATTTGATGCAATTGTCGCTCGATTGTTTCAAAGGGAGTAATTATATTCCTTTTTCCTGTCTCAAAACAATCCAGACTTTCCTCTACCGAGAAAACACAGAAGACAGAACTCACCAAGATCAAGATGAAGTACGACTCGAAGCTGAAGGCGATGGCGGAGGAGGTGTCCACCCTGACACAGCACATGACCAAGTACAGGAGAGAGCGTGACACCTACAAGGAAATGCTAGACGGAACTCAGCGGACCATTGCTGAGTTGAAGGGTAGCTCCACCTTCAGACCCTCTCGAGCTGACAACGCTAGCGAGGTAATGCCTCTGTGGATGGGGGGAAGGAGGGATGAATGGGTGATGAATGGGTAGGTGAAGCGTGGACGGAATGGGAGGGGAAAGGGTACAATGAATGATAATATTTTAATAGGGATAGGCCGGAAAAGTAATCTGTGTTGCTGTGAGGCAAGCCACTTAACACGAAGGTAGACAAAATATGTGATTTTATATTTATCATTGATGCGATAGCTAGTTTGTGTGTGTGTCATGTCAGCGGCTTGTGCAAGCTGAAGATTGGTGGAATAAATTGGCTTTTATCTGGTTAGGTGAGGTTGAACAGGCATGACGTTAGAGTCAATAATTGCAGGCAATCATTTATGTCACTGAACCATCTTGACTTTCCTTCAAGAATGTTTTGCTCGTCAAACACACACACACACACACACACACACACACACACACACACACACACACACACAAACATTAATGCATTAGGAAGTGATGTGGTGGAGGCTGACTCCATATACAGTTTCAAGTGTAGATATGATAGAGCCCAGTAGGCTCAGGAACCTGCACACCTGTCGATTGACGGTTGAGAGGCGGGACCAAAGACCCAGAGCTCAACCCCCGCAATAGGTGAGTACAAATAGCCGAGTACACACACATAGTAGAAAAGGGATCAAACATGGAAGGAAAAACAAAACACTGGCGAAGTAGAAGATGAGGGTGACCCAGTTAAGGGGACGTCCACCCAATTATGGGGAAATCAGAAAGGGACAGCAAGACACGAGGAAAACAATAGACAACCTACAAGGCGAGCTGAGAGCAGCAAAGGAGGAGATAAACACCCTCAAAGAGAACCCCACTCAGACTCAATACTAATTAGTTTTTACAAATTAGGAACTTTGTGCTGTGTTTACCTGTTAACAATGCATCTAAATGGTTATCTCTGAACGTATAGTTATTTACACCACTGTTAAGGTAGCCCTGATAAAAGCACTTCTTAGTACCAAACTGCATTTAGTCTTGTAAATGTTGAATATATATATATATGTCTTATAATGATGCATTGTGTGTAAATGTGTAGATACTTTGTGTCTATGTTCCTTGCATGCCCTCTGCATTCCATATATATTTTTAAAAGACACATATACACACATATATCCTGTAAGCTCATCCGTCTTCAATAACAATCCAATGATGATATTGATGATATCTATTCCCCATCATCATCATCATAGTAACTTACCCCTCACTCCCTACACCTCTCATGCAGACGATGAGTCACAATAACGTGGCTGAAGTATGTTGACCAGACCACACACTAGAAGCTGAAGGGACGACGACGTTTCGGTCCGTCCTGGACCATTCTCAAGTCGATTGAGAATAGTCCAGGACGGACCGAAACGTCGTCGTCGTCCCTTCACCTTCTAGTGTGTGTGGTCTTGTCAACACACACATCTTACCCACACTGTCACCCCTCTCACTTACCCCTTCCCCTCCCCCTTCAACCTCCTCCTCTGGTGCTGTGGTTAACAACCAAACCTAACCTAACCTTCTACTCTTAGATTGCAGCGGTTCAACGCAAGGCGAGCCAGAAGGTAACTAAGTACAGGATAATCTATCAGAGTTCCTCCTCGCCTCTCGCTCCGGGTCTCCCATTCTTGACCTTCTCCCTCTCTACTCTCACAGAGGTTCACTGTGCCCTCAGTAACTCTGCAAAAGTAAATTTCACTGAGTAAATTACAACCTTGAGAAGCTAGCTACGTAGTTGTGTGTTTACATCAGAGGGTTAAAGAGTTGCAACACAAGAATCTATACAGAGGGTGACAACAGGGACAACAGACTCAGGGTGACAACAGAAGACAACAGACCCAGGGTGACAACATAGAAAACAGACCCAGGGAGACAACAGAAGACAACAGACCCAGGGTGACAACATAGAAAACAGACCCAGGGTGACAACAGAAGACAACAGACCCAGGGTGACAACAGAAGACAACAGACCCAGGGTGACAACAGAAGACAACAGACCCAGAGTGACAACAAAACAACAGACCCAGGGTGACAACAGAAACAACAGAACAACGGCTTGAGACTTAAACCTTTCCCTCCTCCAATCGTAAGACTCCATTTTAATTACCATTTTCATACCAGTGACCCTCAGACGACGTCCTCACACACTTAATTAAAACAACCTTCTCAGGGAAGAGGGAAACTTTCCCAAGATAAACTCTTCTGCTGCTCCGTGGACCAATGCGTTCCGCAGCCACAAACAGACGCCTTGCTTGCCCTGCTCCTTCATACTAATCATCCTGGTTTACTGACTCATCTTAATGAATTGGAGCAGCCAATCAAAAACAAAAATATATTAAATGCTAGAATATGGGTTCTGAAATTTTGCTGGAATTTGGTACAAAGAATCCAAATTCCTGTTAATGACATGAACTTGAGAGAGAGAGAGAGAGAGAGGCAAGATGGGAGATTCCTCTAGTGTTCTAACGGCTCTTGTGGTTCTGTTCTGCTGTTCTTGTCTGTTAGAACACGCTACGCTAGCTCTTCTGTGGTGCTATTGAGGTCTTGGATGGTCCTCACAGTCATAGAGTGAACACACGGAAGAAGCAAAGGAGACTATCTGTTGTTCTGAGCTGGGGCACACATATGCTCCTGTGATTTATCTCCATATTCCTTTGATTTCCTCCTCATGATCCTATGACTCTCTCATGCTCCTCTGACACTGTACTAGAGCTGCACAGTGTGAGGACTGTGGTAGTGCTGCACAGTGTGAGGACTGTGCTAGTGCTGCACAGTGTGAGGACTGTGCTGGTGCTGCACAGTGTGAGGACTGTGCTGGTGCTGCACAGTGTGAGGACTGTGGTAGTGCTGCATAGTGTGAGGACTGTGGTAGTGCTGCATAGTGTGAGGACTGTGGTAGTGCTGCACAGTGTGAGGACTGTGGTAGTGCTGCACAGTGTGAGGACTGTGCTAGTGCTGCACAGTATGAGGACTGTGCTGGGGCTGCACAGTATGAGGACTGTGGTAGTGCTGCACAGTATGAGGACTGTGGTAGTGCTGCACAGTATGAGGACTGTGGTAGTGCTGCACAGTATGTGGACTGTGGTACAGCAATTGGAGGAATTTAAGAACAAAAGATATATCTCATTTGCTTCTAAGCTTTAGTCCTCCGTGTGAAGCTTATGTGCTATGCTGTGTTCAGTCTCTAGAATGTTTCCATCCAATCTGCTTAGAATTCAGCTTCGTTGCATAGACTTACCTTAAAAGCAAAATAGTTGCTAAATAAATGACCTTATGAGCACTGTGTAGTGGTCGCATCTAGAACCAATAACTCCATGAAATGAGTCGAATAATTATTTCGTATGCTGTATAATACAGCATAGGTATATAAGGCGTATTAATGACTTCGTAACAGTGTAAACCACATTAAGAAATAAAGTAAATGAGACTAACTTAAAATGCCAGTGTGGCCACCAATGTTTAATTGTTTTTGTTCAATTTAAAGTATGATAAGTGTCGATATTATACTCTTCAAGGATTAATTATACAAATATATACACGCATTGTTTATTATTTTGATGAATTGGTAATTGTACTGTGTTAACTGTTCAGTAATGGAGATTTGTTCAATACTGTGACTAACTGGAGGGTGACAAGTGTGGTTGTCCTCACCTCAGGCTCAACAACACCTCCTGGAGACGCAGGAGCTTCACACTCAGATCACAGAGTTCGAGGACAAGCTGGCTGACGCGAGGCTGGAGAACACCAAACTCAAGAACGAAGTCATAGACCAGAAGACCAACTTCGAGATACAACTTTGTGACTTGCAGACTAAACTCAACGAGGTGAGAGAGAGAGAGGCAGCTTCCACTGCTGAAATTCTTGTTTACAGTGTATTTCAGTCTGTAAATTGACAGACGTAATATATTAAACATATCAATCTGCTTTAAATATAAAAGTATTTTGAGGTAAGCCACAATGGTAACTTTCTTGGGTTTTGCAGTATGAAGAAGATCGCCTCCTTGGGGGAGGAAGCAGACGAGTTCCTGGTCTCAGGACTCGACTCGAACTCAATTGGCAGAAGGAGAGAGAAGAACAGCAGCGACTCATCCAGGAGACGGCCACCCTCGCTAAGGACCTCAGACAGGTATTGTAATCGACACAGTCGACTTGAGAATGGTCCAGGACGGACCGAAACGTCGTCGTCTATTCACTTTCTAGTGTGTGGTCTGGTCAATTCAGACAGTTATTTCTTACCCGACCGAATCAAGGATTGGAAGGATTAAGGATCAGGTCCAGGATTTATCAAGCTTTTAAGCAACCATTTACGAAGCCTGTACATCTTTCCACAATAATTGCGATTTTATTTTTTCATTTAATAAACAGTTTAGGAGCTCCGAAACACTTAGTCCTTTTCTATAACAATAATAAACTGTTGTGAAGTTTGGAGAAGTTGCAGGATCCAAGTAAGTTCAGTAGAACTTCTGGTTTCAATTCTTTTGACCATGTCGTAGCTCAGTCGATTAAGGCAGCGTCTGGGATTCTCTCGGACGTAGATTCGAATCCTCATCACGGCCCTTATGGATTAGTTCATTTGATACATCACACTATTGTGATTTCTGTGTGTATTGAAGTTTCCTAGTTCATAAATGTAAACAAAGCCAGCATGATTACGAAAGATATATAGGTTTCGTTAGTGATTCTGTAAATATCTGATGAATCCTAACCCCCTGGGTACTGTGATTACATTATGGATTTGCATCCTCCATGAATGACCAGACAGATGGTTCAAGATGAGTACAGATGGTCCAAGATGAGTACAGATGGTACAAGATGAGTACAGATGGGGCCAAGATGAGTACAGATGGGGCCAAGATGAGTACAGATGGGGCCAAGATGAGCACAAGGAGTTGCTTATATGTTACGACTCAAAATCTGTGCCAGTATATTGGTGTGTCTTGGTCCATTGCCCCAGCGTCGAGTAGCGAAAACTCGCTATAATAGTGACACTATTTTATGCCACGTCAGAGAAAATATTATGCTAAATTCGCACAATTTGTCGACACAAAGGCGGAACTTTTATTTGTTTCAGAATAGAGAAGAGTGAAGCTAACATTTTTGTCACTCAAAATAACACAGAGTGAAGGTAGAGGTACAAGGCATGAAGGTAAAGGAAGATAAAGACTCTAGAGCGAGTACTTAGTTATTAAGAATATGTAGCGAATATCTATCAGTTTATAGCTTGGTCCGTGAGTTCTTAAACTTACTGGAGGTTTGCGACGGTGAGTTCCTAGACTTACTGGAGGTTTACGACGGTGAGTTCCTAGACTTACTGAAGTGTTGCGACGGTGAGTTCCTAGACTTACTGGAGGTTTACGACGGTGAGTTCCTAGACTTACTGGAGTGTTGCGACGGTGAGTTCTTAGACCTACTGTAGGATTGCGACGGTGAGTTCTTAGACTTACTGGAGTGTTGGGATGGTGAGTTGAGTTCTTAGACTTACTGGAGTGTTGCGACGGTGAGTTCTTAGACTTACTGGAGTGTTGCGACGGTGAGTTCCTAGACTTACTGGAGTGTTGGGATGGTGAGTTGAGTTCTTAGACTTACTGGAGTGTTGCGACGGTGAGTTCTTAGACTTACTGGAGTGTTGCGACGGTGAGTTCCTAGACTTACTGGAGTGTTGCCATTCCACAGACGCTGTACGAGGTGGAGCGAGAGAGGGACCTGGAGCGACTGGAGGCCAAGAGGAAGATCGACCAGCTCAAGAAGACAGTGGGACAGGAAACGACAGACACCAAGTCTAAAGTACATGAGGTAAGAACAGGTTCAGCGATTGGTACAGACGGTAGGTACAGGTTCAGGGAGGGTTACAGACGGTAGGTACAGGTTCAGGGAGGATACAAGCAGTAGGTACAGGTTCAGGGAGGGTACAGGCGGTACGTACAGGTTCAGCGAGGGGTACAGACGGTAGGTACAGGGTTAGGGAGGGTACAGGCGGTAGGTACAGGTTCAGGGAGGGTTACAGGGGGTACGTACAGGTTCAGGGAGGGTACAGGAAATAGGTACAGGTTCAGGGAGGGTACAGGCGGTAGGTACAGGTTCAGGGAGGATACAGGCGGTAGGTACAGGTTCAGGGAGGGTTACAGGCGGTAGGTACAGGTTCAGTGAGAGTACAGAATGTAAGAATAGGCTAAGAAGAGTACAGCTGGAAGTATGAGTTAGGAATATTATAGAAGGCAAGCAGAGCTTAGATGGGATACAGGAGATACAGAGGAGGGGGTGAGGAAGCATACAGGAGAACTATCCACCACATGTGATTATCGTGAAGTGTTTACAGTGCTAACTACCCTCCGCACTTGCTGGCGGAGCCATGAAGAAAAACAGACGAGAATATTTATGATTGGAAGTCATTAGATATTACTATAACCAATCCTCAGCATAGATTTTCTATTTCCAAAGATGTATTACCTTTAATTTGTACTCAAAATATTACTATTAATTCCCCTTTCTGCTGATGCTGCCTCTCATTTTACTGTCCCAGTTTAAGATCGTATCCTGTCAATAGTAATTCCTTGGTAAGAGTCGTCTCATTCCAGCTTAAGATGGTATTCTGATAATCCCTAAATAAGAAGTGTCTCTGGCCCCTTACAGCTGCAGCGGGACCTGCTGGAGCTACGGGAAGCTCACGCCAAGCTGAGACAGATCAACGAGAAGCTCCGACGCGAGAAGGACCGGACGGAGGTGGAGCGAGAGGCCATGAGGGACAAGTTCTTGGGCACCTCCAGGGAACACCTCAACCAGCAGGCCAAGATGGAGCGCCTCATGGACGAGGTAGACCACCGTGGGCAGTGGGGAGGGCGAAGGGGATAGTAGGGGAGGGCATAGGAAGGCAATGTAGGGTAAGGCGTAAGTTCCTAAGGCTCTTCCTTAGGAGAGGGCAAGGAAGGGCAGGGCAGAGCTGAAGACACGAGGCCATGGGGGCAAGAGAGGGCAGGGCAAGGTAGGGGAGGATGAGAAGTGTTGAGGGATGTTGGGATGGGTAGTAAAATGAAGGAAAGGGAAAAGGAAGGGAGGGGGAAGAAATAGGAGGAAAGGGTTAGGTAAGGGATGGATGATGACATGAGAGTGAAAGGGAAAGAGAGGGAAGGGGAAGACAAGATGAGAGAATGAGAAGACAGGGGTAAGGAATTACACAGACAAGGGAAGAGAGGGAATAGGATTGAGAAAGAAATGAAGATGACACGGACTGACAAACAAAAAATAACGAAAATGAGAAAGAATGATCACACCCACCAATGTTGATCACCTACCCTTGAGTAATCACGTGCAAAGTTGGATGAGGCTAGCCCAAGCATCTTATCTCTTAACTTCATTGTCACAATAACGTGGCGGAAACAAGTATCCCAACCTATCCACTTAGGCCCGTCCAGGATCCCATCTGGACCTGGTTGATACCTGGTTGATACCTGGTTGATACCTGGTTGATACCTGGTTGATACCTGGTTGACGGGGTTCTGGGAATAGTAACCCTTTATATGTATATTAATTGTGTGCCTCAGTCTTGTGTATAAAACATGTTTATGGTTCTCCTAACTAATTCAACTAATTTGAACAAACAATCCTATCACAGTGAAAAAAACAAATTCAGTATTAAATGTATTTAACAATAGTATCATCAGCATGTATTCAATATAAATGTTGATTGTTATTCGATTGTTTTGTGTGTATGGAATATTCTAGTCGTGATTACCAATTTGTCGATCCCAATTTATGGTAACAAGTTTGTGGATCCCCATTTTATGTTAGCAAATTTGTGGATCCCAATTTGTAAATTACTAATTTGTCATTACCAGTTTGATATTATCGGTTTGTAATTACATTGTCATAAACGTTTGGGAAGATTGCAGATACCGGATAATATATTTCCTCAGACTTGGCTCTACATCAACCATCTACCACTCTATTTAGCTCTACATCAACCATCTACCACTCTATATTAATAAAAAAAAATGTAGTCTTTTCTAAATATAATTTTCCTTTGTTTATTGTCCTTAATTGTTCTACTAAACAGTTGTTAATTGTCCTTAAACTTCTACTGAAGAAGATTTAAGTGATTCTTGATCGTACGTGGTAAAAGGACCAGTTTCTATATCCCTCTAATGCCAGAATTATCATTGCTAAGCAGTTTGACTCTTGTGAATACAATTACATCAGGAGTTTCTTCATATCATTTCATTTATTTGTTGTTCAATCTGCATTTTGAATATGGTTTTAGAGCTCAATTTATTTTGCATTTTCGCATTCACTGAGTTCGGTGCTGCCTCTCTAATGCCAGGATGGATGTAAGATAATTATCAGGACGAAAACCCTAAATTATTTCGACTACATAGCACTTGGAAGGTATATCAAGATAGGTATTTGGGATAGGACGGAGGAAAGGAATGGTGTCCAGTCACTTGGACCGTCGAGGGATTGAACGCTGACCTGCATGAACATCTTCAACTAGTAAAGGAGAGGCCCTTAAGTGGCCCCCTCAACTTAGTTATGTCTCGCGGTTTCAAAAGTGTTAGTTCATACTTACATAAATAGGGACAATTTGGTTTGAAATTGATGCAATTTCATGAGTTAGACTTTGCACCGGGTGAACAACCGCTGGCACACTGGCTAGTAATCAGACTTGACCTGACGATACCAGACTTGACATGACGATACCAGGCTTGACCAGACTTGACCAGACGATACCAGACATGACCAGACGATACCAGACTTGACCAGACGATACCATACTTGACCAGACGATACCAGACTTGACCAGACGATACCATACTTGACCAGACGATACCATACTTGACCAGACTTGACCAGACTTGACCAGACGATACCATAGTTGACCAGACGATACCAGACTTGACCAGACGATACCAGACTTGACCAGACGATACCAGACTGGACCAGATCAATTACTCAACGAAATGTATCATTATTAGTTTTATAGGTATGAGAATCGTTTTAAATTTTGTTATATCGTAAACTCCTGACCTCGATCTTCTTCTATGGTGTCCCTTTGTGATTGTGGAGTCCTCAGGATGTCCCAATATGCCTGTGGAGTCCCCATTGTGTTCCTTTGTGATTGTGGAGTCCTCAGGATGTCCCAATATGCCTGTGGAGTCCCCATTGTGTCCCTTTGTGATGGTGGAGTCCTCAGGATGTCCCAATATGCCTGTGGAGTCCCCATTGTGTCCCTTTGTGATGGTGGAGTCCCTCAGGGGATGTCCTCTTGCTAATGTTGTGGAGAGTCGCCAGGATGTCCACCTGGCATCCCTGCCACCATCACCTGTATTTTCTGACGTCCCTAAATGACAGGATTCACCGTCCCTTTTGAGAGTTCAGTCACTCGCTAGGCGCCCCCTCCTCCGCCCTACTGTCATCAAAGGATTTCTCCACAACAAAATTTTCAAGCGATTTTCGAGAGCAGTTTTTGACAGTTGTCATAAGCAGGTTCACTCTTTTCCGAAGGGAACTCGTGGAGTATTTACAGTTGTGTACAGTCATCAGTCTGCATGGTCTGCTACTTGGTATCTGTCTGTCATTGACTGTCTGCCTCCTTGCCTGTCTGTCTGTTTGCCTGTGTGTGTGTTTCTCTCTCTCTGCATTCATATATTCATATGTATAAATTTTATTGACCCGTGTTAAGCCTCAGCAAATGCAGCAGCTTAACAAAGGTCAGTGTTAATCAAGAATCCAAAAGCCAGCACTCGCGGTTAGTGGTCAGGTTGATGTCCCCTTGTTGCTGCTACTCCACTAGTAGTCCTTGTATCCACACACGTGCTGGTCCATAATCCACACACGTGCTTGTCTATAATCCACACACGTGCTTGTCTATAATCCACACACGTGCTGGTCCATAATACACACACGTGCTTGTCTATAATCCACACACGTGCTTGTCTATAATCCACACACGTGCTGGTCCATAATCCACACACGTGCTTGTCTATAATCCACACACGTGCTTGTCTATAATCCACACACGTGCTGGTCCATAATCCACACATGTGCTTGTCCATAATCCACACATGTGCTTGTCCATAATCCACACATGTGCTGGTCCATAATCCACACATGTGCTTGTCCATAATCCACACATGTGCTGGTCCATAATCCACACACGTGCTTGTCTATAATCCACACATGTGCTTGTCCATAATCCACACATGTGCTTGTTCATAATCCACACATGTGCTTGTCCATAATCCACACACGTGCTTGGCCATTATCCACACATGTGCTTGTCCATAATCCACACATGTGCTTGTCCATAATCCACACATGTGCTTGTCCATAATCCACACACGTGCTTGGCCATTATCCACACATGTGCTTGTCCATAATCCACACATGTGCTTGTCCATAATCCACACATGTGCTTGTCCATAATCCACACATGTGCTTGTCCATAATCCACACATGTGCTTGTCCATAATCCACACACGTGCTTGTCCATAATCCTTACACGTGTTTGTTTATAATCCACACATGAGCTTATCCATAATCCACACACGTGTTTGTCCATAATCCACACATGTGCTTGTCCATAATCCACACACGTGCTTGTCCATAATCCACACACGGGCTTGTCTATAATCCACACATGTGCTTGTCCATAATCCACACACGTGCTTGTCCATAATCCACACACGGGCTTGTCTATAATCCACACATGTGCTTGTCCATAATCCACACATGTGCTTGTCCATAATCCACACATGTGCTTGTCCATAATCCACACATGTGCTTGTCCATAATCCACACACGGGCTTGTCCATAATCCACACACGGGCTTGTCCATAATTATCTGTCCTTGTCTACAATTATCTGTTCATTTGCTCTTCCTTCAGTCAATTTGTACCATGAATAGAGCGAATGGTAAGAGAATTATGCGTCAAATCTACGAGAAATAAAATTGTTTCAAGATCTGTTGAGTTATATGTAAATATCTTTTGATTGTGTGTTGTTCTTGTCTTCCAGATGAAGAAAGTGAAGGATCTTGCTCCCCTGGTCCTTGGGGAAGGTATAGACGGCAAAGACGGATCTCTCACAAAACTCCGTAAGTCCAATCTTCGTCTCTCTGTACCAAACAACATTATTTCTCTCTGTTGACCAGACCACACACTAGAAAGTGAAGGGACGACGACATTTCGGTCCGTCCTGGACCATTCTCAAGTCGATTGTGAGAATAACTTGAGAATGGTCCAGGACGGTCCAGGATGATTATAAATTGGGTTTATAATTGTTACTGTCAATAAAAACTGTTTATTTCCATGGAAATAAAGCAGTTTGTGTGTGTTGCAGCCGGAGACGCCAAGCCCAGAACCAAGGAAGAGTTCACGGAGTCTCTGAAGAAGGCGTGCAGGAACATGGAGGAGCTCAAGAGAATGATGAACCTCTCTGACGACAAGGACAGACTCAGAAGAGCGCCCTCCTTCAGGAGGTGAGTCTAGCAGCTTATACGTCGAGTATACCATATTTAGATCGTTAGTATACATGCTGGTGTATACTCGTGGTAAACTCACTGTCTTATTTGGTGGCAGTTTGGTAATCTAGATGTGGCAATCCCAGTAGAAAAGGAGTCACAATAACGTGGCTGAAATATGTTGACCAAATCACACACTAGAAAGTAAAGGGACGACGATGTTTCGGTCCGTCCTGGACCATTCTCAAGTCGATTGTGAGAATGGACTTGAGAGTGGTACAGGACGGACCGAAACGTCGTCGTCCCTTCACCTTCTAGTGTGTGGTCTGGTCAACAATGCTAATATAGACATTATGTGCTTAGTAAGGCGATATACTAACTACCTTCCTCATTGTTAGGGCGCTCTCAGATATGGACAGTGAAGACGAGGGTCTTCCTCTGCGACCCAGAAGCCAGCAGCGAGGCACCCTGCACAAGCCAGGGACCAAGAGCCAGAGATCAACTTTGTACCGAAAGACTCAGTCTCTGGACCACCAGATGGCCGAGGATAAGGTGAGTGTGTGTTAGTAAACATGTGTGTTAGTTGTGTAAGCGCGCACCCGCACACTCACACTAGATGAGGTAATTGGGTCTCTGAATCTCTCTGCCCCTCCTTCTCTCCTTCTCTCTCTCTCTCTCTCTCTCTCTCTCTCTCTCTCTCTCTCTCTCTCTCTCTCTCTCTCTCTCTCTCTCTCTCCCTCCCTCTCTCTCCCTCTGTCCTTCTCCCCCCCCATCTCTTTCTCTCCCTCTCTCTCTCCCCCTCCCTCTGTCCTTCTCCCCTCTCTCTCTCTCTCCTCTCTCCCTCCGTCTCTCGGAATATGTGGCACTCAGGCCAACCCAGACTGGCACTCATAAACCCCCTTTTTTAATGTTAGGAAATTGGGAAATACCTCGAGTGTCTGGTCCACTTTGGACATTGAGAGAACGACAGTCATTCCTCATCTTCTGACGTTCCATTTTATAGCTATAAACATTATCAAATCTGATTTATGTTAATTTTTTTATTGCAGATAAATGTCCCACAGATATTTATGTTATGTCAAACTATTAACTTTGGCACCCTTGTCCCTTTCTGTTATTATCTGCTGATGATTGGCGTTAATGATGGCTCTAAGCTCGTTAGTGTGTCCTTGTAGGCGCGGTCCCTGGCACGTGCTTCCTTCGTAAGTGTGTAAGTGTTTGTGTCTTGTCCTTACAGAACAAAATCTGGGTGTCGACGGACGCGGGCAGCACCACCAGCATAGACTCTACAATGACGGACGACATGCGGAAAGCCAAGTACGACAGAGATATCTCCCTCGACAGGTAGGCGGTTCTCCCTCGACAGGTAGGCGGTTCTCCCTCGACAGGTAGGCGGTTCTCCTTCGACAGGTAGGCGGTTCTCCTTCGACAGGTAGGCGGTTCTCCTTCGACAGGTAGGCGGTTCTCCTTCGACAGGTAGGCGGTTCTCCTTCGAGAGGTAGGTACCTCTCCTTCCACAGGTAGGAGGCTCCCCACCTCCAGAGATGGAGGGGGAGGGGGAGCAACGCAGACATAGAGTGTAGTATATTGATTGTGTGAGAGTGTGGAGGGAATTGTGGAGTATTGAGTTAAGTTACAAGTTGCTAGGAGGTTTGAGAGGGCGTGAAATGTTTCTCTAGGAGGTTTTAAGAGAGCACGAAAAGTAGCTAGGAGATTTGAGAGGGAACGGAAAGCGATTAACAAATTAAAAATAACTTTTAATTTAGGTAAGTGGCTGATCAAATTGGCAAGGATAGAGGGGGATGGGTTAGAGTTGAGAGGAAAATGAGTAGTATATATAGTGAGTATGAAGAGCAGAGAATAGGTTGACAAATGTGATGATTGAATGGGAAGAGGATGGGGACGGATTGGGGAGAAGCTGGGGTGGAGGTAGAGGAAGCCAGGAAGCTGTGTAGAAGCTGGGGTGGAGGTAGAGGAAGCCAGGAAGCTGTGTAGAAGCTGGGGTGGAGGTAGAGGAAGCCAGGAAGCTGTGTAGAAGCTGGGGTGGAGGTAGAGGAAGCCAGGAAGCTGTGTAGAAGCTGGGGTGGAGGTAGAGGAAGCCAGGAAGCTGTGTAGAAGCTGGGGTGGAGGTAGAGGAAGCCAGGAAGCTGTGTAGAAGCTGGGGTGGAGGTAGAGGAAGCCAGGAAGCTGTGTAGAAGCTGGGGTGGAGGTAGAGGAAGCCAGGAAGCTGTGTAGAAGCTGGGGTGGAGGTAGAGGAAGCCAGGAAGCTGTGTAGAAGCTGGGGTGGAGGTAGAGGAAGCCAGGAAGCTGTGTAGAAGCTGGGGTGGAGGTAGAGGAAGCCAGGAAGCTGTGTAGAAGCTGGGGTGGAGGTAGAGGAAGCCAGGAAGCTGTGTAGAAGCTGGGGTGGAGGTAGAGGAAGCCAGGAAGCTGTGTAGAAGCTGGGGTGGAGGTAGAGGAAGCCAGGAAGCTGTGTAGAAGCTGGGGTGGAGGTAGAGGAAGCCAGGAAGCTGTGTAGCAAACAAAACAAAGGAAGAAGAAGAAGTAGTCAAGATTAGTGACTTCTGTCACTAATCTTGACAGCTACTTGAAGCTGTCAAGATTAGTGAGAAGGAATAGCACAGACTTCGGAGAATGAGTAATCATTATCATAATGTTCCAAGATAGTGAAACTATGTTTCACCAAGCCATGGGACACTGTAGAACACTGTCGCAGGTCTGTGCTCGATCCCCGATGGTCCAAGTGCTTGGAAACTGTCCCTTCACCCTCGTATCCCAAGTGCTTCATCATTTACTAATAATTATCTTACCATAGTTATAAACCCCTTGAGAAAGATAGGAGGATGAGAAATAGAATGAGAAACCCCCTTTTTCGTATATTGCAATCTGGTCTCCACATTTCCTGTCATCTTGCAGGATCTCAACGGGATCCCAGACCAGCGACCTGGATGTCTTGGTGGAAAAGAAGAAAAAGGGAGTGAAGGGCATGATCTCCAAGCTTACAAAGTCGCGCTCTATCGAGGAATCCTCCACGGGCGGCTCTATAGTGGGCGCGGGCGTGAAGGTGAGTGACAGTGGGCGCGGGCGTGAAGGTGAGTGACAGTGGGCGCGGGCGTGAAGGTGAGTGACAGTGGGTGCGGGCGTGAAGGTGAGTGACAGAGGGCGCGGGCGTGAAGGTGAGTGACAGAGGGCGCGGGCGTGAAAGTGACAGAGGGCGCGGGCGTGGGCGGGACACTGAACCACAGATATCACTAAAAGCTGGCTCGTACGAACCAATAAGAGCTGCCGCTTGTAGACTAATAAAAGCCATCACGTATGGGCCAATAAGCCTTCCGGAGTCTCCTTAAATCCCATGTTATCCTCTTGAGTGCTGACGCGAGATGCTGAGCTTGAGACGCACCGCATCAACGCGACCAACGGGTCTCCTCTCATCACTGTAACGCTCCCTCGGGTCATTATTAGTCTCTAAACAGTGCACGATTTCCATATACTGCTCTGTTGCCTCTTGCTACACATCTCCAGGTGTGTAGAAGAGTCTCTTGAGTGATAGAGCTCCTCGGGAGCACTCTGGAGCAGTTCTGGAACAGCTTGGGAATTCCTGTCTAAGACTAACCTGAGAGACATCATTAATTCAGCTTCTTCCTAGAGTGCGTAGGTAGCTGATGTTCAGTATAGAGCTACCTGGCCGCAGTATAGAGCCACCTGGCCGCAGTATAGAGGCACCTGGCCGCAGTATAGAGCCACCTGGCCGCAGTATAGAGCCACCTGGCCGCAGTATAGAGCCACCTGGCCGCAGTATAGAGGCACCTGGCCGCAGTATAGAGCCACCTGGCCGCAGTATAGAGCCACCTGGCCGCAGTATAGAGGCACCTGGCCGCAGTATAGAGCCACCTGGCCGCAGTATAGAGGCACCTGGCCGCAGTATAGAGCCACCTGGCCGCAGTATAGAGCCACCTGGCCGCAGTATAGAGGCACCTGGCCGCAGTATAGAGCCACCTGGCCGCAGTATAGAGCCACCTGGCCGCAGTATAGAGGCACCTGGCCGCAGTATAGAGGCACCTGGCCGCAGTATAGAGGCACCTGGCCGCAGTATAGAGCCACCTGGCCGCAGTATAGAGCCACCTGGCCGCAGTATAGAGGCACCTGGCCGCAGTATAGAGCCACCTGGCCGCAGTATAAAGGCACCTGGCCGCAGTATAGAGCCACCTAGCCGCAGTATAGAGGACTCTGGTGCTTCAGAATAGAGAAACTGTGTTCTCTTCTCGCTCTTCAACTGATAATATTCACTTATTATATTCACAAATTAAATAACTGCAGGCCATGCATGCATGCAGAGATAAAGCTCAACTTTTTCACGAAAGTAGTGACGTTATCTAAGAACGATAACAAATATTTTAATACTATTTTACGTTCGGAATTCTTATTCGACATTGACGTGTAAATCATTACTGATGCGATGCAAAGGTGTATAGCTGAAGCTGGAGTCCAAAGGTGTATAGCTGAAGCTGGAGTCCAAAGGTGTTGTGTAGTGTAGTGTACAGTTAAAGCTGTAGCGAACAGGTGTACAGCCACATGTATCATGTTATGTATCATGTTATAGTGTTAGACAGGGTGAGGTTATAGCATGTATCATGTTATGTATCATGTTATAGTGTTAGACAGGGTGAGGTTATAGCATGTATCATGTTATGTATCATGTTATAGTGTTAGACAGGGTGAGGTTATAGCATGTATCATGTTATGTATCATGTTATAGTGTTAGACAGGGTGAGGTTATAGCATGTATCATGTTATGTATCATGTTATAGTGTTAGACAGGGTGAGGTTATAGCATGTATCATGTTATGTATCATGTTATAGTGTTAGACAGGGTGAGGTTATAGCATGTATCATGTTATGTATCATGTTATAGTGTTAGACAGGGTGAGGTTATAGCATGTATCATGTTATGTATCATGTTATAGTGTTAGACAGGGTGAGGTTATAGCATGTATCATGTTATGTATCATGTTATAGTGTTAGACAGGGTGAGGTTATAACATGTATCATGTGAGAGTGTTATTGAGGGTTATATCTTGAGGTTATCTTGAGATGATTTCGGGGCTTTTAGTGTCCCCGCGGCCCGGTCCTCGACCAGGCCTCCACCCCCAGGAAGCAGCCCGTGACAGCTGACTAACACCCAGGTACCTATTTTACTGCTAGGTAACAGGGGCATAGGGTGAAAGAAACTCTGTTCATTGTTTCTCGCCGGCGCCTGGGATCGACCCCAGGACCACAGGATCACAAGTCCAGCGTGCTGTCCGCTCGGCCGACCGGCTCCCTCACCTCCCAGGATGACTTTATGATTGACTAAACTTATAGGAACAAACTTAGAATGTTGAGTGTATATATACACTCAATACAATTTGGAAGATATTTTAAATAACGTAATTAATATGAACGCGTAACACGTTGTAATTATGAAGGTTAATGATAGAACACGTTGTTGATAACGAAGTTGAGGATCGAACAGCCTCGTTATTGTTCATAACGAGGCTGAGAAACGCTCTGGTAGATGTGAAGTTCTGTCTGCAAGAACTTCATAACATATAACATAAGAATTAAGGAAATATTTTACCCATACGAGACAGCTCCTATTGGTCCATACGAGACAGCTCCTATTGGTCCATACGAGACAGCTCCTATTGGTCCATACGAGGCAGTTCCTATTGGCCCAAGCGAGACAGCTCCTATTGGTCCATACGAGACAGCTCCTATTGGCCTATTGGTCCATACGAGACAGCTCCTATTGGTCCATACGAGGCAGTTCCTATTGGTCCATACGAGGCAGTTCCTATTGGTCCATACGAGACAGCTCCTATTGGTCCATACGAGGCACAGCTCCTATTGGTCCATACGAGCACTTCTCGGCCTACTATGCAAGGCCCGATTCCTAATAAGCCAAGTTTTCCTGAATTAATATAGTTTCTCTATTTTTTTTTCTTATGAAATGATAAAGCTACCAATTTCATTATGTATGAGGTCAATTTTTTTTTATTGGAGTTAAATTTACGTAGATATATGACCGAACCTAACCAACCCTACCTAACCTAACCTAACCTATCTTTATAGGTTAGGTTAGGTTAGGTAGCCGAAAAAGTTAGGTTAGGTTAGGTTAGATAGGTTAGGTAGTCGAAAAACAATTAATTCATGAAAACTTGGCTTATTAGGCAAATTGGGCCTTGCATAGTAGGCTGATCGAACCCATACTCCCAGGAGCAACGCAACTGGTATGTACAAGACGCCTTAATCCACTTGACCATCACGACCGGACAAAATGAGGTGATAGCCTAAGCTATTTGAACCACCCCACCGCCGGCACTCGGATAGTAGTCTTGGGCATAGCATTTTACCAAATCACCTCATTCTTTGGGGCACACGTGAGGAACACAAATGCAAACAAATTTTGTTCGCATTTGTGTTCCTCACGTGTGCCCCAAAGAATGAGGTGATTTGGTAAAATGCTATGCCCAAGATTACTATCCGAGTGCCGGCGGTGGGGTGGTTCAAATAGCTTAGGCTATCACCTCATTTTGTCCGGTCGTGATGGTCAAGTGGATTAAGGCGTCTTGTACATACCAGTTGCGTTGCTCCTGGGAGTATGGGTTCGAGTCACTTCTGGGGTGTGAGTTTTCAGTTGCATATTGTCCTGGGGACCATTCAGGCTTGTTCGCATATATATATATATATATATATATCTGGCTATTCAGGTACGACCTATACTATATATATATATATATATATATATATATATATATATATATATATATATATATATATATATATATATATATATAATGTCTAACCTACACTTGAAACAATCCAGGGACCCCACGCCAATAATGTTATTAGGTATTTTGTTCCATAAATCAACAACCATGTTTCCAAACCAGTATTTACCCAGGTCTTTCCTGAACCTAAACTTATATATATCCACTGCTTCAAGTGCAATTTTGTGTTAATATATTTAAAACCTTATTTCTATCCTCTTACCATAACAATTATCTATGACAATCACCGACAATTAACGACGTAAATAATCAAATAGACGAATTTACCATCGTGGAGTTGAGCTCCAGCTGTTGGCCTGCAAGCCAAAACGATTCAGCTGCCCTTAACTAATCTTTCTCCTCTGTGTGTGTGTGAGACAGGCCATGGGCGTCGGGATGGGCGGCTCGGGTAGCGACATTCCCACAGAGGTTGAGAAGGAGAGTAAGGTTAAGGGGCGGCTAAAAGGTTTCTTCAAGATTGGACCCCCTTCAAGATCCCAGAGGTAAGCTGGTAACCCAGGCAAGGCAGGTCCTATTTTATATTCAATCACAATTACTCATATATCTTACCTACGCTTAAAAACAATTAAATGACCAAAAGGTCAGGGGTAGGTATGCTATTTTAAAAGGTATTATTAAAGGTCAAAAGGTATTCTATTTTGTGTTTATATATATATAGCACATTATAATTATTCATCTTATATCATTTCATCAGTGTGATTGCTTCAGTTATATTCCTTCCTGCTCTTCAGCTTCTGTGAGGGGGCTGCGACTCTCTGTGAGGGCTGTGAGTCTCTGTGAGGGCTGCGAGTCTCTGTGAGGGCTGTGACTCTCTGTGAGGGCTGCGACTCTCTGTGAGGGCTGTGAGTCTCTGTGAGGGCTGTGAGTCTCTGTGAGGGCTGTGAGTCTCTGTGAGGGCTGCGACTCTCTGTGAGGGCTGTGAGTCTCTGTGAGGGCTGTGAGTCTCTGTGAGGGCTGTGAGTCTCTGTGAGGGCTGCGACTCTCTGTGAGGGCTGCGACTCTCTGTGAGTCTCTGTGAGGGCTGTGAGTCTCTGTGAGGGCTGCGACTCTCTGTGAGGGCTGCGACTCTCTGTGAGGGCTGTGAGTCTCTGTGAGGGCTGTGAGTCTCTGTGAGGGCTGCGACTCTCTGTGAGGGCTGTGAGTCTCTGTGAGGGCTGTGAGTCTCTGTGAGGGCTGTGAGTCTCTGTGAGGGCTGTGAGTCTCTGTGAGGGCTGTGAGTCAAGCTCTGTGAGGGCTGTGAGTCAAGCGCTGTGAGGGCGTGCTTTTTGTTAGGTAGCATGTTAAATCATGTTATTATGAGGATAGAGCTCTTGGACGATCGGGGATTGAACACCGACCTGCATAGAGCGAGACCGTCGCTCTACCGTCCAGCCCAAGTGGCTGGTCCAAGAGAAGACGTTGACAGTGTTCAGCTGACAGTGGGCTCACAGGTTCCTGTTTATAGGAGACAGTAGCACTTTTTTACGTAATGTCAAATTGAAAGAAGGGAACAGCCTGCCCACATACGTGTCCAAGCCAAGCTACATCACATTCACTATGTCACCCAACAAGGCATTCCACAATCCACTCCGTCTCTTAACACTAAATTAATTCAAAATCAAATCTGTATCATGCAACCTGCACCTACACCCTCGTGTTTCATATTACATTCACCACTTTCTCCAATATCCACCAGGTCATAACCTTTCATCCTCGATCATGTCCCCCTCCCACTCTTCGCTCTCTAGGCAAAGCAAAATAAGCTATCTTAATCCCTATTCATACCAACGGTTCCCCAGCGCCCAGAATTAACCCTGTCATCCTTTCCTGCGTGTCCTTTAGAGAACCAATGTCCAGCCCACGACACGAGGCAAAAATTGCAATGATCAATCCTAATGGTGGACGACATGAGCATTATCAAGCTGTCCCATCACCTATATTGCGCCAGTTATGAATGCTGGTGTTGCTCTTGTCCCGCTCCCAACACTAACACTACCGGGACAGAGACAAAATGGGTGTTGACCAGACCACACACTGGAAAATGAAGGGACGACGACGTTTCGGTCCGTCCTGGACCATTCTCAAGTCGATTGTGAATAAGAACATAAGAACATAGGTAACTACAGAAGGCCTATTGGCCCATACTCCTATCTATAACCACCCAATCCCACTCATGTACATGTCCAACCCGCGCTTGAAACAATAGAGGGACCACACCTCCACCACGTTACGCGGTAATTGGTTCCACAAATCAACAACCCTGTTACCGAACCAGTATTTACCAATGTCTTTCCAAAATCTAAATTTATCCACTTTATACCCATTGTTTTGTGGACCAGGACGGACCGAAACGTCGTCGTCCCTTCACTTTCTAGTGTGTGGTCTGGTCAACATACATCAGCCACGTTATTGTGACTCATCGTCAACACAAAATGGATGACCCACTCACGTGACTCAAGATTCATCAAGCATTTACGCAGCAACTTACGAAGCCTGAACATTCTTTCTTAAATAATTGCGACTTGGAAACTTGACAAAACTTCACAAACCAAGTTAATAAATGGCTATAAACAGACTCTTGCTGCTTCAGAGATCATAAACATTTTAATAAATATAAACAAGGACGTCTTGACTGATGAAAAAGATGTAAAGGATTCGCAAATGGTTGAAAAAAATGCTAAAGTCAAGACGTTCCTGAAGTCACACCTGGAAATTCCAACACTGTTTCACTTGAAGCCGAGAGACAGAGTCATTTAAATGAATCAATTAAACGAAATGCTAATGACCCAACACTGGTAGCCAGAGAACTTGAGGACCCCAATTACACAAAAGAGACAGAAGTGAATGCCACATAGACGGGAATCACTGTCTAGAATACTACGAATACAACGTAATACATAATAGAATACAACGTTACAAATGCAACCTATTAATTAAGGCTCATTAATATTAACGTTTTCTATGCCATAGACTCGATAGGTTAGGTGGGTTGCTTGGGTTCGTAGGTTAGGTTAAGTGGGTTGCTTGGGTTCATAGGTTAGGTTAGATGGGTTGCTTGAGTTCATAGGTTAGGTTAGGTGGGTTGCTTGGGTTCGTAGGTTAGGTTAGATGGGTTGCTTGGGTTCATAGGTTAGGTGGGTTGCTTGGGTTCATAGATTAGGTTAGATGGGTTGCTTGGGTTCATAGGTTAGGTGGGTTGCTTGGGTTCATAGGTTAGGTTAAGTGGGTTGCTTGGGTTCATAGGTTAGGTTAAGTGGGTTGCTTGGGTTCATAGGTTAGGTTAGATGGGTTGCTTGGGTTCATAGGTTAGGTTAGGTGGGTTGCTTGGGTTCATAGGTTAGGTTAGGTGGGTTGGGGTTGCTTGGGTTCTTGGGTTCATAGGTTAGGTTAGTGGGTTGCTTGGGTTCATAGGTTAGGTTAGGTGGGTTGCTTGGGTTCATAGGTTAGGTTAGGTGGGTTGCTTGGGTTCATAGGTTAGGTTAGGTGGGTTGCTTGGGTTCATAGGTTAGGTTAGATGGGTTGCTTGGGTTCATAGGTTAGGTTAGGTGGGTTGCTTGGGTTCATAGGTTAGGTTTGCTTGGGTTCATAGATTAGGTTAGGTGGGTTGCTTGGGTTCATTGGGTTAGATTGCTTGGGTTCATAGGTTAGGTTAGATTAGGTGGGTTGCTTGGGTTCATAGGTTAGGTTAGGTGGGTTGCTTGGGTTCATAGAGGTTAGGTGGGTTGCTTGGGTTCATAGGTTAGGTTAGATGGGTTGCTTGGGTTCATAGGTTAGGTTAGATGGGTTGCTTGGGTTCATAGATTAGGTTAGGTGGGTTGCTTGGGTTCATAGGTTAGGTTAGATGGGTTGCTTGGGTTCATAGGTTAGGTTAGATGGGTTGCTTGGGTTCATAGGTTAGGTTAGATGGGTTGCTTGGGTTCATAGGTTAGGTTAGATGGGTTGCTTGGGTTCATAGGTTAGGTTAGGTGGGTTGCTTGGGTTCATAGGTTAGGTTAGATGGGTTGCTTGGGTTCATAGGTTAGGTTAGATGGGTTGCTTGGGTTCATAGGTTAGGTTAGGTGGGTTGCTTGGGTTCATAGGTTAGGTTAGATGGGTTGCTTGGGTTCATAGGTTAGGTTAGATGGGTTGCTTGGGTTCATAGGTTAGGTTAGGTGGGTTGCTTGGGTTCATAGGTTAGGTTAGGTGGGTTGCTTGGGTTCATAGGTTAGGTTAGATGGGTTGCTTGGGTTCATAGGTTAGGTTAGATGGGTTGCTTGGGTTCATAGGTTAGGTTAGGTGGGTTGCTTGGGTTCATAGGTTAGGTTAGGTTTTCTTTTTCTTTTTCACGGAACGACAAATCAGGGGAATAGTCCGGCGCCAAGGTTCAAGGAAAAAAAAAAGAGACTTAGCTGCGCATTCCGCGAAGCGCAATGTGTCGCACCTCGTGTAAGTGCTGGCATTGTTGCACAGATTTCCGCTTATTGTACATGACCCTGGCTGCTGCCCACACACACACACACACACGCACATACGCACGCACACACGCACACTATTCCAGGGAGCAGTGTCCTCGGGGCGGCTGCGGCGTCACGTGGTCCACACTCAATCAATCAATCAACTTGTTGTTCCATTTTTACGGCGCGTTGCCTCTCTTTTGTTTTGTTTTTTTTGTTTTTTTTGTCGCCTAGGTAGAGTGTTTTTTGTTATCTGTTCCGTGGCCAGCACCGCACTCTGCCACAACTGAGGTAACACCTAGGGGCTAGGGTCTATAACACCTAGGTGCTAGGTTCTATAAGACCTAGGTGCTACGTTCTATAAAACCTAGGTGCTAGGTTCTATAAGACCTAGGTGCTACGTTCTATAAGACCTAGGTGCTAGGTTCTATAAGACCTAGGTGCTACGTTCTATAAAACCTAGGTGCTAGGTTCTATAAGACCTAGGTGCTACGTTCTATAAGACCTAGGTGCTAGGTTCTATAAGACCTAGGTGCTACGTTCTATAAGACCTAGGTGCTAGGTTCTATAAGACCTAGGTGCTACGTTCTATAAGATCTAGGTGCTAGGTTCTATAACACCTAGGTGCTAGGTTCTATAACACCTAGGTGCTAGGTTCTATAACACCTAAGTGCTAGGTTCTATAACACCTAGGGGCTAGGTTCTATAACACCTAGGGGCTAGGTTCTATAACACATAGGTGCTAGGTTCTATAAGACCTAGGTGCTACGTTCTATAACACCTAGGTGCTGGGTTCTATAACACCTAGGGGCTAGGTTCTATAACACCTAGGTAGTGCTAGGTCGCTAGGTGGCGTCTATGGCCACTCCCCCCCAAAGGCTAGTTACGTGGTATTCTAACTTCCCCCTTATCATAGGATAACATAAAGAGGTCACTACACAACTACTCGTACAGAGTGCCATAACATAGCCCTATAATCCCTTTTGGATGTGTTCTAACTCTGCTGTTTATTTCCTCATTCACTGTCTTCTCTCTTATGTTCATTCCCTGTTCGACCCCTTACACCCCCTTCCTATCCCTCATTCCCCCCCTTAATCACTGCCCCCTTAACACCACCTTCCTATCCCTCATTCCCCCCCTTAATCACTGCCCCCTTAACACCACCCCCACCATACCTCCCCTTGCTGAAGCAACCAGTCTTCCCCTTGACAGATTCGTCTATCGTATCTGGATCATTTAATTCTGTGTTGCCTTCCGCTATCCTAAGGTTGAGTTATCTCCGTCCTCCCACTTCAATTTTAGCACTCGATGTTATCTTTGTGTTCTATTTAGAGCATGAGTTGGGATTTCTAGCTCATCCTCTTTGCTAGTGGCATACGCACAAGCTTGAAGTGGAATGCGTCGTCACCCATGATATACTCCTTTGGTATACTCCCATAACATACTCATATGACAAGGGACGATATTCTTAGCTGCTCATATGCTACCTAATATTCTGTCCTTCTCCGTTCACTCATGGCATGCGACCTATTCACCCCCTATTCTCTCTCTCCCTGACCTATATACCAGATCACACCAACCTGTCACCTTTTCCAGGCCCTCTTCATTCCCTTTTCCACCAGCTTCTCTATCCCTTACACCACCTCTTCACCCTATGCCCCTGTTACCTAGCAGTAAAATAGGTACCTGGGTGTTAGTCAGCTGTCACGGGCTGCTTCCTGGGGGTGGAGGCCTGGTCGAGGATCGGGCCGCGGGGACACTAGAAAGCCCCGAAATCATCTCAAGATAACCTCAAGATAAGATAACCTCTTCTGTCTCATTTGTCCATTCCTCCATTTTTCTCTCTCCATGTCCTATCCCTCGTCCCCCATTTTCCCATCTATGTCCCATTTTCTCTCCGTGTCCCATAGTGACCTCGGGGCTCCGTGCATCATTATCCACATGTTCGTCTCCAGTTTCACCTTCACTGTTGCAATGTTCTTATTGTTGTTACAGCATGGACCGAGCAGGGGGAGCCAAGACCTCATCTGGCAAATATGACTCAGACACGGCATCGGTGAGTATGGTGGGTGGTGAGTAATGACTCGTGGTGAGAGGAATGAGGTATGTGTGGTGCCTCTGGTGGGTGTGGGGGTGTGGTTGTCAGTGATGAGTGTAATAACTCGCGGTGAGTGATTGTGATATATAATGCTTCTGATGAGTGATGGTGAGTAGTGGCTCCATATATATCATGAAGGGGGGGTTACGACGTACTCATTGATGAGTGATGGTGAGTAGTGGTTCCATATATATCATCAAGGTGGGTTACGACGTACTCATTGATGAGTGATGGTGAGTAGTGGTTCCATATATATCATCAAGGTGGGTTACAACGTACTCATTGATGAGTGATGGCGAGTAGTGGTTCCATATATATCATCAAGGTGGGTTACGACGTACTCATTGATGAGTGATGGTGAGTAGTGGTTCCATATATATCATGAAGGGGGGGGGGGGGGTTCGACGTACTCATTGATGAGTAATTCACATGGGAAGTTCCCCCCTCAGGCTCTCTATTTGACCTAAAATTACAATTCATGAATGTGACGGAAGCTGAAACCTCCAAAACATTACAGAAATTCAAAATAAAGATAGAAAATGAATCCTCAGGCAAAAAGTGAGGTGGGGGGATGGACTTTGACAAGCCACCGGCTCTCTGTCCCCGTCGTGGCCACTGAATAGATGGTGAATTCAGGTAAATCCAGCAATTAGAGTGAAGGTATTGAATGTTGCATAGCGTGATGAGCGATTTATTTGAACGATGATTTGCTGTGATGAAGTGTTCCAGTGAATGGATTTTGAAGCAATTATATAACTATCAAATAAGACAAGGAGTAAAAGAACATTTACTCGTGTGTTATTCAGTGAGTAAACTTAATTCAAAATTATAATGAAGATGGTGAGTTACAATGCAAGTAAATGCTACTGTCGTACATTGTTTCTGGTGTATTATAATATACACAATGTTCCATGTGCGTTTTAATATTATGTTTATTTATACAGGTAAATTTAAACTGAATATACTCTATACTTTAATATATAAAAAACACGATATTTCCATAATTGTAATTTCCATGTAAAAAGTTCTCATTTTTGCTATATTCTGACTTCCTTCTCAGCCCCTTGTTTATGTTAAGGTAACTAGACTCGTCTCTACGACTTGTACATGTTGATGCAAGGACTAAACACGTGTCAACACAACACTAAACACTCGTAGTGTTGCGTTGTGTTGCTTGTAATGTTGTGTTGCTGGTAGTGATCACAACTACGCACATATCTACAGCAAAACACGCAGTAATACACACACAAAACACACACACACACACACACAATTGAGAGGCGGGACCAAAGAGCCGAATCTAAACCCCCGAAAGTACAACTAGGTGAGTACACACACACACACACACCCACACACACACACACACACACACACACACACAGTTAGTAAACAGTTGATTGACAGTTGAGAGGCGGGCCGAAAGAGCAAAGCTCAACCCACGCAAACACAACTAGGTGAATACAACTAGGTGAATACACACACACACACACACCTCTGCACGTGAACTACACCTCACGTCGCAGGAAGACAGAAGAGCTCGGGAAGACATGATCACCACATAAAAAATTCTCAAGAGGAATTGACAGGGTGGACAAGGATGGATTATTTAACACGTGTGGTACACGCACACAAGGGGACACAGGCGGATGCTGAGTACCCAAATGAGCCACAGAGACATTAGAAAGAACTTTTTCATTGTCAGAGTAGTTAGTAAATGGAATGCACTAGAAAGTGATATGGGTGGAGGCTGACTCCATACACAGTTTCATATGTAGATATGATATAGCTTGAAAGGCTCAGGAATCTATACACCAGTAGATTGACTGTTGAGAGGCGGGACCAAAGAGCCACAGCTCAACCCCAGCTAGGTAAATCCACACACTAAGTCTACAAAAGGAGGCAGCAACTGCATCTCTCAAACCGCCAAACTCTCCCAATACACACACTTCCCTCCCACCTGATCACCTTCATCCGCCAATCTTGTGTTCTGCCAACAGAAGGCCACAGAAGACGCCTCAGAGAAGCACTAGCCCATGACAGCCTCTGGCGACCCCAGGTGCGAGACTGCGGCCTCAGCCCCTCACTCCATGTCTTGCTCGCCTCCAGTAATATGTCCACGTGTGTGTGTGCTGGTTAATGCCAGCTTTAGTGACACGAACTAATTATACATGAAGGAAACGGGTTAAGCATGATCTAAAAAGCGTTTTTTGTTGGAACTTTCTAAAGCTGTATTTGTATTTTGAGGATGAATGAATGGACATTTGCAGCTTATGTAGAACGCTTATAGCAGATGCCATATAGCTGATATCACATACTGCTAAGCTTACACCACGAGGAGCCACTGAGCTTGTCCTAACCACAGTAACTTACAGGCCATGAGAGGCTTTCTGGCATAGGCATAATCACATTGTGGTGCCGAGGAGGCCGTGTGCTGACGCCAGGGAGGGGCCGATTGCTCGTCTCCTGACGCAGCTGCAAGGACGTGTTGGCAGACCCAAAGCCTGATGGTCTTAAAACTGTTCAGAGGCGTTAGAGCCTATAACGCATGGGTGGCGTTTGAGCCAGCATTCATCACACATTAGCAAAAACTTACGAAATCTGTGCATCTTTTCCCAGTTAATACACTACTCCCCCACTACAGTTAATGCACTATCCCCAACCCCCAGCTAACACATTGTCCCCCAACCCCAATTAATACACTACTCCCTACTACAGCAAATACTTTGCTCCCTACACCCCAATTACTACACTGCTCCCCCACCCCAGTAACTACACTGCTCCCTACACCCCAGCAACTACACTGCTCCCTACACACCAGTAACTACACTGCTCCCCCACCCCAGTAACTACACTGCTCCCTACACCCCAGTAACTACACTGCTCCCCTACACCCCAGTTACTACACTGCTCCCCCACCCCAGTAACTACACTGCTCCCCTACACCCCAGTAACTACACTGCTCCCCCACCCCAGTAACTACACTGCTCCCCAACACCCCAGTTACTACACTGCTCCCTACACCCCAGTAACTACACTGCTCCCCTACACCGCAGTTACTACACTGCTCCCCTACACCGCAGTTACTACACTGCTCCCCTACACCCCAGTTACTACACTGCTCCCCTACACCCCAGTAACTACACTGCTCCCCTACACCCCAGTAACTACACTGCTCCCTAAAATAATTGTATTCGGGAGCTAATTTGGGGGAGTACAGACTATGTTCTTCCCAGAGGACCAAGCCAGCCCTTGCATAACCCTGGGGGAAAGGGAAGAGAGAGAGAGAGAGAGAGAGAGAGAGAGAGAGAGAGAGAGAGAGAGAGAGAGAGAGAGAGAGAGAGAGAGACCTCGATAATTCTCATGTGTGTAGGGGCCTGGGGGGAAGGGGGTAGAGTGGGGAGGGCCCCTATCCCCTCATGTGTGGGGATAGGGGATAGGTACCTGAGAACAGGAAGGGGCGCGGAATTACCTGTGTCAATACATTCTGGATACAAATGATCTCATTCTTCCGTGGTTTGCTGCACTGAAGTACCTGTTTCTTCCACAAGATGCCCAAAGATCTATATATAAGGTAATGGAATTGTGAGGTGATAGCGCTATGGTGCTTGCCTATATACCATCGAAAAGAAATACGAGGACAAAAGCTGAGACGTGATGACAAGGAGCTGGGATATGAGGACAAGGAGCTGGGATGCGAGGACAAGGAGTTGGGATACGAGGACAAGGAGCTGGGATACGAGGACAAGGAGCTGGGATACGAGGACAAGGAGCTGGGATATGAGGACAAGGAGCTGGGATACGAGGACAAGGAGCTGGGATACGAGGACAAGGAGCTGGGATACGAGGACAAGGAGCTGGGATACGAGGACAAGGAGCTGGGTTGTGAGGACAAGGAGCTGGGATACGAGGACAAGGAGCTGGGATACGAGGACAAGGAGCTGGGATACGAGGACAAGGAGCTGGGTTGTGAGGACAAGGAGCTGGGATGTGAAGACAAGGAGCTGGGATACGAGGACAAGGAGCTGGGATGCGAGGACAAGGAGCTGGGATACGAGGACAAGGGGCTGGGATACGAGGACAAGGAGCTGGGATACGAGGACAAGGAGCTGGGATACGAGGACAAGGAGCTGGGATACGAGGACAAGGAGCTGGGATACGAGGACAAAGAGCTGGGATACGAGGACAAAGAGTTGGGATACGAGGACAAGAAGAAGTTTATGCCACTTGCCTACTCACCTTTCGTCCCCATACATCTCATTCTCTCCCTCTCTTAATCTCAATTCATCTCGTTATTTGTCTTCTGTCGTGTTCCTTTCTTTCTTTTATCAATTTATATTCTTCCATTCTCTTCGCGCACTCCCTCTCATTTTCTCCCACGTTCTCTCTCTCTCTCTCCCTCCCTCTCTCTCTCTTTCTCTCTCTCCCTTCTTTTATCCAAAGTCCGTCACAATTCTTCACCTTCTCTCTCCCCTCATTCTTTCCCTCTAGCATTATCAGCCTCTCTCCTCACGTTTCCTCACTCCATCCCCCTATCCTCCTCCTATCCCTCCCTCCCTTCCTTCCTTTATTATTCCATAATATTATCATCATTTTTCATCGCCTCACGTTGGGCGCATCAGGAGTAGGGAGCCTCCTCGTCCCTCCATCTCCCTGGGCGAACACACATCATTTCCTCTTGGAGACACGCGTTCAGCCCCGTCGCCCGGGGGTTCTGGCTACGGTGCTGCTGGTCAAGGCTCCTGGTGTTGCTGGTCAAGGCTCCTGGTGTTGCTGGTCAAGGCTCCTGGTGTTGCTGGTCAAGGCTCCTGGTGTTGCTGGTCAAGGCTCCTGGTGTTGCTGGTCAAGGCTCCTGGTGTTGCTGGTCAAGGCTCCTGGTGTTGCTGGTCAAGGCTCCTGGTGTTGCAGGTCAAGGCTCCTGGTGTTGCTGGTCAAGGCTCCTGGTGTTGCTGGTCACGGCT